AGGTCATTGTTACAGAAATACTCTTAGGTCACCAAGAACATTGTGTCTCTGAACATGCTGCATAATTGATATACATATTAAAAAATACACCGGTAGCGAGCACAAGGCAGCTATTTAAAAGTTTTTGTGCCGTATGCTTAGTGACAGCAACTCAAAGTAAATTATGTTATATTATTGTACATTATTGAATAATGTAATAGTCTCAATTTTGAAATTTCTAAGAGGCTACAGGCAGCACAACCTGACTAAAATTGTTCATCCATCATTTATTAATTAACTAACACATTATTACAGAGTCACAGAATGTACTGTAGTGTCCTGCTGTTGGAGCTAAACTAGGGTCATAATCACACTGTTTCATTGGAGATCATTCAACCAATCATAAAGGGTTCGGCTTATCATCAGCGTCCATCAGCAGATAGACTTCTGTTACCAGGAAAAACCAATACACATTATTTCATCACTCTAATGGGAAAGCCTTTTTCGTGAATATCTAAACATCTTTCTGGGTTTTGGGGATAGACGTCTGCTCCTATCTTTAGCTAGCGTCCCAAATCTCCTTTTCCAGAAGACTGCATTTGCATACTCCCTGTCATGGATTTAAATGCATATAGGATTGGTGTAAGGCACATTGGAGTGGAGGGAGTTTCTACCGTTTTTAACATTCGAGCGATAAAGTGGGCAAGTGCACAATTTGGAAGAATGGTGGAGAATTAGGTCACAGATGTAGTGGCAATGAGACTGGATTGTGGATCCCCACATGAACAGCTAACTGGGCCGTCTGGCCCAGGGCATGGAGGAACGCCATTGATTTGTAGCGCTGATAGTATTGTTAACACCCAACAGGGGAGAACCCAGGTCAAAAGAGGAGTGGGGGCGCGATGCAGCGTGACAATGCAGATTCACAAAATAATCTCCCAGCTATTGAATCAAATCAAATGTAACCTCTATGTCTACTTTTCAATGCCATTTTGGGATGTGAGATCACGCTCCCTTCTCTGCTGGAGGACCCTTTTGATCTCATTCAAGGAAGTAGCTGCTGCAATCTGTTAATGGACATGCTTGTGATATGCACCCGGCTCCATAGTTGGATAGACTTGGCCCAAAGCCAGTTTTTCGCATGGGCAGCGCCATTGAGGGCTTTCACCAATTTTAAAGTAGTAAACTGGATGGGACTTTCTATGGTTTAAGGAAGGATCAAAGAGCAAACATTCCATAACTGCAGGTGGCAGTAAATCACCAACCTTGGCTTTATACCTGTTCAGACTGTTTCAGTTTATTAATGAAGTGCCAATACACATAGAAGTAGTAGAAGAAGAAAGTAACTACTTTAAAATGGAGGAAGCCCTCAATGGCACTGCTCATGCTGTCACGGAAGCGGTCATTGCAAAGATAGGAGATGAGCTCTCTAGTACATTTCTATGGAGATTCATCCTGGCATGTCAACACAGCTCTCGCACGACAACAAACTGTAGGGTGATGCTCAAGTGTCATTCATCACAGGGATGTCAAAAGACTCATCCAAAAGGTATTAAAATAAACAACTCATAACAAAACATGCCATCTTCTATCCTTGTGGGGATATCAAATTCCCCAAAGTCCCCACAAGGATAGTAGAACAAAGACATTTTTTCCCACGTCCCCATGAGGACAAAGGCTATTTTAAGCTTAGGGGTTAGGTTTAGGGTTAGGGTTAGAATTAGGGTTAGGGTAAGGGGTTAGCGGTTAGGTTTAGGAGTTAGCTTAAGGTTAGGGTAAGGGTTAGGGGTTAAGGAAAATAGGATTTTGAATGGAAATACATTTTAGGTTCCCACGAGGATAGATGAACAAAATGTGTGTAGGTGTGTGTGTGTGTGAGTGAGTGAGTGAGTGAGTGAGTGAGTGAGTGAGTGAGTGAGTGAGTGAGTGAGTGTGAATGTGCGTGTCAAACCAACATTTTCTTTCACTGACTTTTTGTGGAAGTAATTTTGTAAAATAGTCCAGTTCGGTCAGTCATTTTATTCTTAGCAGTCAGAAGGGGAATCATTATTCAAAGATTTTCAGTAGGCCATAGACAAAATATACAATGTTTGTTGCTCTTACGGTATAAAACACACAATGACATCAAAGGAACACGGCACAAACCATCATCTTCACAAAAGAGGGAACTTAAAAGCTGTGGCAATGTCTTCATTGATTTCTGTGGAATGCAGTAGTTACCATAGATAAGTCCAAATCAAATGGTAACATATTAGCTAGATAACTGCTACCTGTTTGAACTTCATTGAAATCAATCACATTTTTTTATTCCAAATATCTAACATTAGCTATGTTCTCTGGACATTGAGTATTCTTTTCTGTTTTAAACCAAACAAGAACATTTTAGCAACAAAAACTTTCCCAAAATAAGACAAAATATCAACACAGAACATTGGCAGAATGTCCTTGGTGGTGAACTTCAGCAACTAAATGAACCATTAGCATTTGAGGCGTTCAAATACACAAAACTGGGGAAGTTAATTGGGTTCAAAACAGGAGTGATAACACAACTAAAAGGCTGGCATGTGCAGTACAGTCGTGGTCAAAAGTTTTGAGAATGACACAAATACTACTTTTCACAAAGTCTGCTGCCTCAGTTTTGATGATGGCAATTTGCATATACTCCAGAATGTCATGAAGAGTGATCAGATGAATTGCAATTAATTGCAAAGTCCCTCTTTGCCATGAAAATGAACTTAATCCCCCAAAAAAATTCCACTGCATTTCAGACCTGCCACAAAAGGACCAGCTGCCATCATGTCAGTGATTCTCTCGTTAACACAGGTGAGAGTGTTGATGAGGACAAGGCTGGAGATCACTCTGTCATGCTGATTGAGATAGAATAACAGACTGGAAGCTTTAAAAGGAGGGTTGTGCTTGAAATCCTTGTTCTTCCTCTGTTAACCATGGTTACCTGCAAGGAAACACGTGCCGTCATCATTGCTTTGCACAAAAAGGGCTTCACAGGCAAGGATGTTGCTGCTAGGAAGATTGCACCTAAATCAACCATTTATCGGATCATCAAGAACTTCAAGGAGAGAGGTTCAATTGTTGTGAAGAAGGTGTTTGGGCGCCCAAGAAAGTCCAGCAAGCGCAAGGACCGTCTCCTAAAGTTGATTCAGCTGCGGGATCGGGGCACCACCAGTGCAGAGCTTGCTCAGGAATGGCAGCAGGCAGGTGTGAGTGCATCTGCACGCACATTGAGGCGAAGACTTTTGGAGGATGGCCTGGTGTCAAAAAGGGCAGCAAAGAAGCCACTTCTCTCCAGGAAAAACATCAGGGACAGACTGATATTCTGCAAAAGGTACAGGGATTGGACTGCTGAGGACTGGGGTAAAGTCATTTTCTCTGATGAATCCCCTTTCCGATTGTTTGGGTCATCCGGAAAACACCTTGTCCGGAGAAGACAAGGTGAGCGCTACCATCAGTCCTGTGTCATGCCAACAGTAAAGCATCCTGAGACCATTCATGTGTGGGGTTGCTTCTCAGCCAAGGGATTGGGCTCACTCACATTTTTGCCTAAGAACACAGCCATGAATAAAGAATGGTACCAACACATCCTCCGAGAGCAACTTCTCCCAACCACCCAAGAACAGTTTGGTGACGACCTTATGCCTTTTCCAGCATGATGGAGCACCTTGCCATAAGGCAAAAGTGATAACTAAGAGGCTCGGGGAACAAAACATCGACATTTTGGGTCCATGGCCAGGAAACTCCCCAGACCATAATCCCATTGAGAACTTGTGGTCGATCCTCAAGAGGCGGGTGGACAAACAAAAACCCACACATTCTGACAAACTCCAAGCATTGATTATGCAAGAATGGGCTGCCATCAGTCAGGATGTGGCCCAGAAGTTAATTGACAGCATGCCAGGGCGGATTGCAGAGGTCTTGAAAAAGAAGAGTCAACACTGCAAATATTGACTCTTTGCATAAACTTAATGTAATTGTCAATAAAAGCCTTTGACACTTATGGAATGCTTGTAATTATACTTCAGTATACCATAGTAACATCTGACAAAAATATCTCATAACACTGAAGCAGCGAACTTTGTTAAGACCAATACTTGTGTCATTCTCAAACCTTTTGACCACGACTGTACACCATATCAAATTAAGAGGGTGAAAATGTTTTCCACACATTATTTTGGTTGACTTATAGCAGTGTTTCCCAAACTCGGTCCTCGGGACCCCAAAGGGTGCATGTTTTGATTTTTGCCCTAGCACTACACAGCTGATTCAAATAATTTGATAATTTGAATCAGCTGTGTAGGGTTAGGGCAAAAACCAAAACGTGCACCTCTTGGGATCCCAAGAACCGAGTTTGGGAAACGCTGACTTTTACGGTCAGATGGGGACTTTATTATTATTTTTATGATAGTGCAATAATGATAGTGTCCATATTTCTTTGTGAAAGAGAAAAAGCAGAGTGACATGGATATTCAAAGAGGAAAACCATGTGTTTGATGTATTTGATACCATTCCACTGATTCCGCTCCAGTCATTACCACGAGCCCATCCTCCCCAATTAAGGTGCCACCAACCTCCTGTGCCTTCCAACACTAGCAACCTGCAAACAACTCACATGAATTGAAGTCAAAAACACTGTGTAGTCTATGGACTGGTTGATACAGACACCACAACACAACAATCACAATAACATGACTCCCTGTGCCAAGAGCAGACTTAAAAAATACATCTAAAAAAAAAGGTACTTTTTCTACAAACATCATGTTTTGTCACTTAATGAAAAACATCATTTATTACTAAATATTTTGGTTCTCGAAATCATTCAATAAGGATGTAGAAAAAAAATTGATATCGTCGAAACCATCCCATGAAATTGTCCTTCGGAAGTTGAAGTTGCAACCCTAAATTTCAGGAAGTGCTAGCGAGGTCTCTCCACTCCAGTCTCGTTGGGTCCTTTGGTGAACGTGTCTTGCTGCCGAGTGGACAGAAAGCCCCCTGGACACACAGGACTTTTAGTTGGTACAAGTGTTGATGTTCTTGCCATCGGCAGCGTCCTCCACTAGGGAGAGGTGATAGTCGGTGGACAGGGTGAAGTGGGAGACACAGCCCACCAGACCTCCACTGTACTGCCGGTTAGTGTGCAGAGCAATCTCCTTCATCCCCCCTAGGCAGAGCAGAGACATAAAAAAAAAAAAAAGAAGGTCATTTAGCAGACACTCTTATCCAGAGCGACTTACAGGAGCAATTAGGGTTAAGTGCCTTGCTCAAGGGCACATCGACAGATTTTTCACCTAGTCAGCTTGGGGATTAGAACCAGCAACCTTTCGGTTACTGGCACAACGCTCTTAACCACTAAGCTACCTGCCGCCATCAGGTATTATAGTTCTAATCCTACTCATCTTAATCATCATCACCATAATTACAATCTCATCATCATCACCATAACCATCATCGTCATCATCACCACCATCCTTATTGTCATCGTCATCACAACCATTATCATCACCATCATAACATTATCACTGTTATTGCTATCATAACCATAACCATCATCGTCATCACAACCATTATCATCACCATCATAACATTATCATCATTGTTATTGCTATCATAACCATCATCGTCATCATCATTATCAACACAGGTTGTACCATCTTACATTTAGTCTTCCAACCACCAGACAAACAGACAGACAGACAGACAGACAGACAGACAGACAGACAGACAGACAGACAGACAGACAGACAGACAGACAGACAGACAGACAGACAGACAGTGGAACCGACAGACAGACAGTGGAACTGAGGGACCACCAGACAGACAGTGGAACTGAGGAACCACCAGACAGACAGTGGAACTGAGGATGACTTAGAATGATGCTCTATATAAATAACTGACCTTAGAATGATGCTCTATATGAATAACTGACCTTAGAATGATGCTCTATATAAATAACTGACCTTAGACTGATGCACTATATGAATACCAGAACTTAGACTGATGCTCTATATGAATAACAGAACTTAGACTGATGCTCTATATGAATAACAGAACTTAGACTGATGCTCTATATGAATAACATAACTTAGACTGATGCTCTATATGAATAACAGAACTTAGACTGATGCTCTATATGAATAACAGACCTTAGACTAATGCTCTATATGAATAACAGAACTTAGACTAATGCTCTATATGAATAAAAGAACTTAGACTAATGCTCTATATGAATAACAGAACTTAGACTGATGCTCTATATGAATAACAGACCTTAGACTAATGCTCTATATGAATAACAGAACTTAGACTGATGCTCTATATGAATAACAGAACTTAGACTGATGCGCTATATGAATAACAGAACTTAGACTGATGCTCTATATGAATAACAGAACTTAGACTAATGCTCTATATGAATAACAGAACTTAGACTGATGCTCTATATGAATAACAGAACTTAGACTGATGCTCTATATGAATAACAGAACTTAGACTAATGCTCTATATGAATAACAGAACTTAGACTGATGCTCTATATGAATAACAGTACTTAGACTGATGCTCTATATGAATAACAGTACTTAGACTGATGCTCTATATGAATAACAGTACTTAGACTGATGCTCTATATGAATAACAGACCTTAGACTAATGCTCTATATGAATAACAGAACTTAGACTGATGCTCTATATGAATAACAGAACTTAGACTGATGCTCTATATGAATAACAGAACTTAGACTGATGCTCTATATGAATAACAGAACTTAGACTAATGCTCTATATGAATAACAGAACTTAGGCTAATGCTCTATATGAATAACAGAACTTAGACTGATGCTCTATATGAATAACAGAACTTAGACTGATGCTCTATATGAATAACAGAACTTAGACTGATGCTCTATATGAATAACAGAACTTAGACTGATGCTCTATATGAATAACAGAACTTAGACTGATGCTCTATATGAATAACAGAACTTAGACTGATGCTCTATATGAATAACAGAACTTAGACTAATGCTATATACAGTGCATTCGGAATGTATTCAGACCACTTGACTTTTTCCACATTTTGTTACATTACAGCCTTATTGTAAAATTGATTAAATTATGTATTTTCCTCATCAATCTACACACAATACCCAATAATGACGAAGAAATGTTTGCAGTAAAAATAAAAACAGAAATACCTTATTTACATAAGTATTCAGAGCCTTTGCTATGAGACTCAATTTTTTATTTTACCTTTATTTAACTAGGCAAGTCAGTTAAGAACAAATTCTTATTTACAATGACGGCCTACACCGGCCAAACCCGGACGACGCTGGGCCAATTGTGCGCCGCCCTATGGGACTCCCAATCACAGCCGGTTGTGATACAGCCTCGAATCGAATCAGGGGGTCTGTAGTAACGCCTCAAGCACTGAGATGCAGTGCCTTAGACCGCTACGTCACTCGATATAGAGCTCAAGTATATCCTGTTTCCATTGGTCATCTTTGAGATGTTTCTACAAGTTGATTGGAGTCAACCTGTGGTAAATTCAATTGATTGCACATGATTTAGAAAGGCACACACCTGTCTATACAAGGTCCCACAGTTGACAGTGCATGTCAGAGTAAAAAAACAAGCCATGATGTTGAAGGAATTGTCCGTAGAGCTCCGAGACAGGATTGTGTCGAGGCACAGATCTGAGGAAGGACACCAAAACATTTCTGCAGCATTGAAGGTCCCCAAGAACACAGTTGCCTCCATCATTCTTAAATGGAAGAAGTTTGGAACCACAAAGACTCTTCCTAGAGCTGGCCGCCCGGCCAAACTGAGCAAACAGGGGAGAAGGGCCTTGGTAAGGGAGGTGACCAAGAACCTGATGGTCACTCTGACAGAGCTCCAGAGTTCCTCTGTGGAGATGGGAGAACATGCCAGAAGAACAATCATCTCTGCAGCACTCCAACAATTAGGCCTTTATGGCAGAGTGGTCAGAGAGAAGCCACTCCTCAGTAAAAGGCACATGACAATCCGCTTGGAGTTTGTCAAAAGGCACCTAAAGGACACTCAGACCATGAGAAACAAGATTTTCTGGTCTGATGAAACCAAGATTGAACTCTTTGGCCCCGAGTAGCTCAGTTGGTAGAGCATGGCGCTAGCAACGCCAGGGTTGTGGGTTCGTTTCCCACGGGGGGCCAGTATGAAAAATGTATGCACTCACTAACTGTAAGTCGCTCTGGATAAGAGCGTCTGCTAAAAATGACTAAAATGTTATTGCTATCATAACCATCATCGTCATCATCACCACCATCCTTATTGTCATCATCATCACAACCATTATCATCACCATCATAACATTATCACTGTTATTGCTATCATAACCATCATCGTCATCATCACCATTATCATCACCATCATAACATTATCACTGTTATTGCTATCATAACCATCATCGTCATCATCACCATTATCATCACCATCATAACATTATCATCAACTGTTATTGCTATCATAACCATCATCGTCATCATCATTATCAACACAGGTTGTACCATCTTACATTTAGTCTTCCAACCACCAGACAGACAGACAGACAGACAGACAGACAGACAGACAGACAGTGGAACCGACAGACAGACAGACAGACAGTGGAACCGACAGACAGACAGACAGTGGAACTGACAGACAGACAGTGGAACCGACAGACAGACAGACAGACAGACAGACAGACAGACAGACAGACAGACAGTGGAACCGACAGACAGACAGACAGTGGAACCGACAGACAGACAGACAGACAGACAGACAGACAGACAGACAGACAGGGTGGAACTAGACAGACAGCAGTGGAACTGACGACAGACAGACAGACAGGACAGACAGACAGACAGGAACAGACAGACAGACAGACGACAGACAGACAGAACGAGACACGACAGACAGTGGAAGAGGAAACCACAGACAGACAGTGGAACTGAGGAACCGAAGACAGACAGGAATGAGGAACCGACAGACAGACAGTGGAACTGAGGAACCACCAGACAGACAGTGGAACTGAGGAACCACCAGACAGACAGTGGAACTGAGGAACCACCAGACAGACAGTGGAACTGAGGAACCGACAGACAGACAGTGGAACTGAGGAACCGACAGACAGACAGTGGAACTGAGGAACCACCAGACAGACAGTGGAACTGAGGAACCACCAGACAGACAGTGGAACTGAGGAACCACCAGACAGACAGTGGAACTGAGGAACCACCAGACAGACAGTGGAACTGAGGAACCACCAGACAGACAGTGGAACTGTATGGAACCAACCAGACAGGACCAGTTGGAACTGAGGAACCACCATACCAGACAGTGGAACTGGATGGACCACCAGACAGGACAGGGAAACTGGAGGAAACCACCCTAGACAGACAGTGGAACTTAGGAACCACCAGACAGACAGTGGAACTGAGGAAACCACTCATACAGGACAGTTGGAAACTGAGGAACCACCAGACAGACAGTGGAACTGAGGATGCAATGATAATCCAGGAGACTCTCCATGGAAGGGGGATACCTCGTCAGTTGTACAACTGAATGCATTCGACTGAAATGTGTCTTCCGCATTTAACCCAACCCCTCTGAATCAGAGAGGTGTGGGGGGCTACATCCACGTCATCAGCGCCCGGGGAACAGTGGGTTAACTGGGTAGCTCAGGGGCAGAACAAAATATTTTTACCTTGTCAGCTCAGGGATTCGGTCCAGCAACCTTTCGGTTACTGGCCCATCGACTCCTACCCACCAGGCTACATGCCGCGCCTGCACCTACTTCACTCTGTCGCATCACACCATTGTTATGAATGTTCCCATCCAGAGTGGCTCCTGCCAAGTCATTTTTAACGGGGACTAATGATGATTTAGTGTAAACTACACTATAGTTTCTTAAAAATAGGATGAAAATAGGACAAAATCTTCATCAGCGCCAATTGAGAATGTAGTTAGTGGAACTGTCAGCCGCGAGTCAAATAACTTTCAGAGGTGGAGTGATGTAACGTGTAACCCAATGAATAATAGGTGACTAAATAGCTTTTGGTGGAGACATACCAACATACAGGACCCCGTTGACGTTCAGCTGTCTCATCTTCCCAGGTGACCTGCCAGTCTTGGCCCCATAGTCATCTACTGTCAGCTTCCCAGACTGGCCATCCCTGAAGAACACGCAACAACAGGAAGGACGCACATCAGATTGACACACAACGAGAGAGAGATAGAGAGAGAGAAAGAGAAAGAGAAAGAGAGAGAGAGAGAGAGAGAGAGAGAGAGAGAGAGAGAGAGAGAGAGAGAGAGAGAGGGGGAGGAGAGAGAGAGAGAGAGAGAGAGATGAATGGATGAGACGTTCCAGATAGGAAGAGAGTAATTACTTCTTTCATCTTTCTAATCCCCCCCTGACACTCATATAATGGATGCTAGCTCAATAAAATGGAGCTAAGCAGATCATGAGAGAATCAATCCACTTGGACCTTAAGCACAACCCGTCTGGATGTATTCTACATAGAGGAAGGGCTGTCCATTGATGGGCTCTTGGTGTACAATAAATGTACATTTACTGTCATTCCTCAAGTCTTTTTTGTGGCCCATGATGCCGCTGTACGCTGCAACATACCCAACACTGGCCGAGAGACTACAGTGATACGCACACACACATCAAGGCAACACACACGCACACACATTATGTTCAATGTATTCCCAGAAGCCCTAGTAGAATGTAAGGCATTTTTCAATTAATTTCCAAGTGAGAAGTGAGAAGGCATTGAAAAGCACCTGACAGCCTTTACTCTGTGCCACCTTCCATCGCTGAAGGTTCCATTGACGATCACATTGGCCACACCACTTCCCAGGTTATAGCTAGAGAGAAAGGAAGACAACGTTGGCATTAACTCCTGCTACAATCACCCCACAGCCAGGAAGGAAACACTGCACATTCCACCAGGCTCAACTCAAAAGGGTTGGTTTCCCAGACGCCGATTATGCCTAGTGTATTGGTGTATTGAGCTTACTTTTTAGTCCAGGACTAGTTTTAAGGCTTAAGCTGGGATTCAATCCTTTTCGGCTATGCTCCTTTTAAAAGGCAATGTTCCCGCATTTGTGGAGAATGCATTCACGGTAAACGCTGCATGTGTCTGCTCAATCGGAAATTACCTTCAAATGTAAATCGCGCTACATTGCGGATCTAACACAGATCGCAATGAATCCTGGCGTTAATCTGTATCCAGGAAACTGTCCCAAAGATACGGAAAGAAAAGTCTGGGCAATGTTTTACCGGCCTGATTTCAGATGTGTTTGTGCTGTCTTTCCACAGCATGACCAGAGGAGTTGTTGTTTTTCTTCAGGAAGCATTAGGGAAAGAGAAGGTGTGGACTCGAGTGATGCGTGACGTGAGGGGTTCACCTAAAGATGAGCGCTCCATCCTGCAGTCCGAGAGACAGGAAGTCACTGTTGGGCCTCACTTGGCTGTCGCCTCGCCATAGCAACAGACCATCCTTCGCCGTGCTCTTAAAGCGCATGAACATGTTGGTCCTGACGCCCGAAACCCTGGGGTGAGAAACACACAGGACATGTCAGCACAGAGTGGCACACTTAGCCCTTTTCTTATAATCCCACACACCCCGAGGGAGGGTTAGTGCTTTCTAGTTCACTGTGTTTTACTCCCATTGGCTGACTGTATATCCCTGTGTTACCATAGTGATATCCCTGCGTCATCATCTGACTAAAGCTAATAGACAGAAACTATGTCATACAGTACAACTCAACTACTGCTGAAGTCATAGTATAACTGTCTGAACCCAATGCTTTAGAAAGGCAAATTGGTGTGGTAGTGTTTTCACTTTAAATCACACATACATGCATACACACAAACACGCACGTTCACACACACACACACGTAGACAAACCTTTTCAGGATTTCAGGATTGTCGTAGGTGAGGTAACTGCGGCCAATGAATTGTGGAATCTCAATGGCCTCTGTGAAAGCTGAAAATAATAAAATGCTACATTTACACAATGTGGCCAGTAGATGTCCTCCTAAGCATGGTACAAACTGAGGATAATGAACGGGTGTATTCATTAGTGGATACCGTAGCAAAACGTTTTGCAACTGAACATGTTTTGTTGCGAATTTGAGAGTTTCTGATTGGACAAATTCAGGAGTGTCCCTCCTGGTTTTGGCCTATTTGTTCTGTGTGGTTCCTAGTAAATACACCCGAGGTAAAATAAGTGTACAAACAGCGTTATTAAAGTCTGATGTGGTAGATGAACAGAGGTAGCCTCGTATTTGTGAACATGTTTTAAAGTATGGTTTACTGTATGCAATACAGTGGTGATAGAAAACTTACTGTTTAAACAGTAATTCCCACACTCTGCACAGAGAAAGCATAAAACAGAGAAGACAACGGCTTAGAAGACATTATGTCGTTCAAATACATTACATACATAAAAAATTACATTTAAATGCTGAATATTTTCCACCAAAATCTACCTTCTCATACAGAATGTAGCCTACAGAGTATAACTTGTGGAAAATGTGGATGTTGGCACAATTTCTTTCCTTAGGGTGTCCCCTCCCTTCCATCTCTCACCCTTCTGGCAGTGCCGGCCATCGTAGCCGAGAGGGCAGTCACACTCGTAGCGGTCCCATTTCGGCCTGCAGGTGCCGCCGTTGGCACAGGGACTCTCCACACATGGGTGGGCTGCGTTCTCCACGTTCACCCCCAGAGCAAAGTCCTTGGTCAGCAGGATGCTGCGGTCATTCAGAACCAGCTGACACAACAAGGAGAGAGGGTAGATGAGGAGAACGTTAAATGAACAATCAGTAATTCTACTGTTTCCTTCTCCTATATGAACAAATGAATGAATGAAATACTGAATTAATTAACAAACTAATGAATTAATAAATGAATGAATTGAGTTGACCATTGTAAAATATATCTAAACTTTCCTCAACCATGTGAATACCACAACACACACATTAACAACAATCGAGGAGAAAAACACAACTAAGTCAAAAATACTTATTTCCACTGTGGTCCTCCTCGTTGTCACATGGGCCGTCCCAACACTTTAACATGTATTTGAAAAGCCAAATCAGTTGTGTTTGTGGGATATCATACTCATTTTCTGAGTCATTATATACTATGAACTCTCTTGACACAGTTAGTTAAAACCTAACAACTGGGCTGCGTTCAGTGCGAAAGAAAAACATAATGCAACGTACAATTAAACGGAAACGGTGCTGTTCTGAACGACCAGTTGAAAAACGGGGAGGGGTTTGGGGAACGCTGTTAGCTGCCCTTTAAATACGTCACTCATTGCTACAAGCCACACCTCGCCACACCCACCAAACGGAGCAAACGTACCTCAAAGTCTTATTTTTTCGTTGTACTTTTAACCCCTTTTTCGTGATTTCCAATTGGTAGTTACAGTCTTGAACTCCAGTACGGACTCGGGAGAAACAAAGGTCAAGAGCCATGCGTCCTCCGAAACACGACCCTGCCAAGCCTCACTGCTTCTTGACACACTGCTCGCTTAACCCGGAAGCCAGCCGCACCAATGTGTCGGAGGAAACACTGCACATCTGGTGACCGTGTCAGCGTGCATGCACCCGGCCCGCCACAGGAGTCGCTAAATCAAGATGGGACAAGGGACATCCCGGTCTGCCAATCCCTCCCCTAACCCGGACGACGCTGGGCCAATTGTGCGTCGCCTCATGGGTCTCCCGGTCACGGCCGGCTGCGACACAGCCCGGGATCGAACCCGGATCTGTAGTGACGCCTCAAGAACTGTGATGCAGTGCCTTAGACTGCTGCGCCACTCGGGAGGCTCGTACCTCAAAGTCTGTTCAAGAACGTTCAAGAAACGTGTCAGTACAAGACGTTACGCAATGTAGCAAACATGTAATCGAACTGAACGGACCCCTGGAGGGACTGTGGCACCCTATTCCCTACATAGTGCACTACCTTTGACCAGAGCCCTATGGACCATTTGGGACATTGCCTGTGTGACAGGGCAGGAGGTATGGCTGTTTCAGCCCCTCCATACAGTAACAGTACCTTCTGGATGGTGCCGCTGAAGGGGCGGCGCACGGCCGCGGCGCTCTTGGTTTTGTCGTATTGTGGAACTCCGCCGATGTACAGAGGAGAGCTGCACTTGATCTGAGTGAAGGCTCCCTGGAGGTGGAGTCACAGTAGTCACAGTAGAATCACAGTAGAGTAGAGTCACAGTAGTCACAGTAGAATCACAGTAGTGTAGAGTCACAGTAGTCACAGTAGAATCACAGTAGAATTTTCCCTGACCATGCCACCTGACTTAGGAAAACTCTGTGCCCTAGAGTTTTTACCTGGTCAGGTGTAGGGCTGTTGTGGTGACCATATTACCGACGGTCATGAGTCATGACCGCAGTAAAATTCCACGTGACCATTGAGTCACGGTAATCTCCTTTTATGCACTCTGGACATGCATTGATGCAACCCAACTCACAAACGACCATCAGGTCACTAATGGCCTGGTACTCAGGGCTCTATTGTCCCTCTAACCACTCTGACATCAATACAAATGCAATCGAACAAACACTTATCATCAAAACAGTCTCATGCTTTTAAAACTCACATCACTGTGATTGATCAATTTGAAGAAAGAAGTTAAACAACAGGTTGAAACTGAGCGGAAAACATGGTCATTGTGGATGTTGTTTCAAAGCCTAATATAATGAAATGGACAGCGCTCTCTAAGGTGATAATTAATTCAAAACACTCATATGCATATTAGAGCTTATGCATACGAATAGGCCTATACTGTATATGAACCCAAGCCCAAAGAAAACACTGAACTAAAATAATGATTGTGCAGTTATGCAATACATAGCTTACCGCATATTATGCACGACAGAAAAACATAAAAAGCACTGATTTAAGATGTCTTTGGTACATGATTGGTCTAGCCTATACTCCAAAATTAAACAAATTCTAGTAATGGCCTTTGAGTGTGGACTGTATTATTATGCATACTGGATGGACTGGTTACCTTATGCTATGCTCCAAACTTTCTATCCATGAGTCTGGGAGAGAACATATAGGCCTAGGCGATGTTGTTTGTTCACTGATTGTTCAGGGCGGCTTACAGAGTCAGCCTACCATTATAGCGAATTTCTATTTGATTTTGAATAGCATAGTAGTCAGGCATTTTTTATATTTTCATAATTCACAGTAGAGACACAGTAGAGTCATACTAGAGGCACAGTAGAATAGAGTAGAGTCACAGTAGATACAGAAGTCACATAAGTAAGTCACAGTAGAGTAGAGACAGTAGAGTAGAGTCACAGTAGAGAAAAGTCACATGAGTAGAGCACAGTAGAGTATGAGTCATGATCACAGATAGCAGTAGACATGAGATAAGTCAGAGTAAGTAATCACAGTAGAGTCGTAGTAAGTAAGTCAATCAGAGTAGTAGTAGGCACAGTAAGTAGAGTCACAGTAGCAGTAGAGCCACAGTAGAGTACAGAGTCACAGTAGGTCACTAGAGTAGAGTAGAGTCACAGTAGAGTATAGATAGTCACAGAGATAGAGTCACAGTAAGTAGAGTCACTAGATAGAGTAGAGTCACAGTAGAGTAGTCAGTACCCAGTAAGTCACAGTAGAGTAGAGTCACAGTAGGTCGAAGTAGAGTAGAGTCACAGTAGAGTAGTAGAGTAAGTCCGACAGTAAGTAGAGTCACAGTAGAGGTCAGTAGAGTAGATCACAGTAGAGTAGAGTCACAGTAGAGTCATAGATAGAGTCACAGTAAGTAGGGGCACATAGTAGAGTAGAGTCACAGTAGAGTAATCAGAGATTACAGTAAGTAAGTCACAGTAGAGTCCAGTGTAGATCACAGTAGAGTAGATGTCACAGTAGAGGTCACAGTAAGTAGAGTCACAGTAGAGTAAGTCATGTGAGTAAAAGTCACAGTAGAGTAATCAAACAGTAGAGTAGTCACAGTAGTAGTCCAGTAAGTCACAGTAAGAAGGTAGGAGATCACAGTAAGTAGATCACAGGTCATAGAGTAGATTCACAGTAGAGTAAGTAGTCGATCATAGAGTAGAGTCACAGTAGAGTAAAATCAAGTAGTCAATGGTAGAGTCACAGTAAAGTCAAGCGAAGAGTAGTCACAGAGTCACAGTAGAGTAGAGTCACAGTAGAGTAAAGTAGTAGTAGAGTCACAGTAGAGTAGAGTCACAGTAGTCACAGTAACGTTATAGAGAAGTCACAGTAGGAATCACAGATGTCACAGTAGAATAATAAGTAGTCACAGTAGAGTATAGTCACAGTACAGTCAATAATAGTAGAGTCCATATACAATCACAGTAGAGTCACAGTAGAGTAGAGTCCAGTAGAGTAGAGTCGAGTCACATCAAGTAAAGTACAGTAGAGTAGAGTCACAGTATAGATTAGAGTCACGTTAGTCACAGTAGAGTAGAGTCACAGTGAAGGAGAGTCACAGTAGAGTAGAGTCACAGTAGTCACGTAGAGTATGTCACAGTAGAGTAATTGACAGTAGAGTCAAGTAGAGAGTCAGAGTAGAGTCCCCTTACACAATTGTGAGAGTCACAGTAGAGAGTCACAGAGAGTATAGTGCACGGGGTAAGTCACAGTAGAGTATAGTCACAGTATAGTCACAGTAGAGTAGAGTCACAGTAGTGTAGAGTCACTGTAGAGACAAGGTAGAGTCACAGTAGTTTTTCCTGACCATGCCACCTGACCTAGGAAAACTCTGTGCCCTAGAGTTTTTACCTGGTCAGGTGTAGGGCTGTTGTGGTGACCATATTACCGACAGTCATGAGTCATGACCGCAGTAAAATTCCACGTGACCATTGAGTCACGGTAATCTCCTTTTATGCACTCTGGACATGCATTGATGCAACCCAACTCACAAACGACCATCAGGTCACTAATGGCCTGGTACTCAGGGCTCTATTGTCCCTCTAACCACTCTGACATCAATACAAATGCAATCGAACAAACACTTATCATCAAAACAGTCTCATGCTTTTAAAACTCACATCACTGTGATTGATCAATTTGAAGAAAGAAGTTAAACAACAGGTTGAAACTGAGCGGAAAACATGGTCATTGTGGATGTTGTTTCAAAGCCTAATATAATGAAATGGACAGCGCTCTCTAAGGTGATAATTAATTCAAAACACTCATATGCATATTAGAGCTTATGCATACGAATAGGCCTATACTGTATATGAACCCAAGCCCAAAGAAAACACTGAACTAAAATAATGATTGTGCAGTTATGCAATACATAGCTTACTGCATATTATGCACGACAGAAAAACATAAAAAGCACTGATTTAAGATGTCTTTGGTACATGATTGGTCTAGCCTATACTCCAAAATTAAACAAATTCTAGTAATGGCCTTTGAGTGTGGACTGTATTATTATGCATACTGGATGGACTGGTTACCTTATGCTATGCTCCAAACGTTCTATCCATGAGTCTGGGAGAGAACATATAGGCCTAGGCGATGTTGTTTGTTCACTGATTGTTCAGGGCGGCTTACAGAGTCAGCCTACCATTATAGCAAATTTCTATTTGATTTTGAATAGCATAGTAATCTGGCATTTTTTTTATTTTCATAATTCACAGTAGAGACACAGTAGAGTCATACTAGAGGCACAGTAGAATAGAGTCACAGTAGAGTCACAGTAGAGTCGGAGTAGAGTAGAATCATAGTAGAATCACAGTACACTAGAGCCACAGTAGAGTAGAGTCACAGTAGAGTAGAGTCACAGTAGAGTCATAATAGAGTATAGTCACAGTAGAGTAGAGCCACAGTAGAGTCGCAGTAGTCATAGTAAAGTCACAGTAGAGTCAACGTAGTCACAGTGGAGTACAGTCACAGTAGAGTAACAGTAGACTAGTCACAGTAGTGCCATAGTAGAGTAGAGTCACAGTAAAGTAAAAATAGATTTACAGTAGAATCACAAGAGTAGAGTCACAGGGTAGTCACAATAGATTCACAGTAGAGGTAGAGTAGAGTCACAGTAAAGTCACGTTAGAGTAGAGTCACAGTAGAGTAGAGTCACACTAGAGTAGTCAAAGTAGTGTAGTCAGTAGAGTCACCGTAAAGTCACGGTAGAGACGCAGTAGAATCACAGTAGAGTAGAGTCACAGTAGATTTACAATAGAGTCATATTAGAGTAGAGTCACAGTAGAGTAGAATCAGAAGTCTATAGAGTCACAGTAGAGTCACACCAGAGTAGAGACAGAAGTCACAGTAGAGTCACAGTAGAGTTATAGAGTCACAGTAGAGTCACAGTAGAGTCATGGTAGAGTCACAGTATAGTATAATCACAGTAGAGTCACAGTAGAGTAGAGTCATGGTAGAGTCTCAGTATAGTAGAGTCACAGTAGAATCACAGTAGAGTCATAGTAGTCACAGTAGAGTCACAGTAGAGTAATAATAATAATAATATAATATGCCATTTAGCAGACGCTTTTATCCAAAGCGACTTACAGTCATGCGTGCATACATTTTTTTTTTGTGTATGGGTGGTCGCGGGGATCGAACCCACTACCTTAGCGTTACAAGCGCCATGCTCTACCAGCTGAGCTACAGAGGACCACGTGTAGAGTAGAGCCACAGAGTCACAGTAGTCACAGTAGAGTACAGTAACAGTATAGTCACAGTAGAATCACAATAGAGTAGAGTCACAGTAGAGTAGTCACAGTAGAGTAGAGTCACAGTACAGTCACATTATAACACACTCACAGTAGAGTCACAGAAGAGTAGAGTCGCAGTACAGTCACAGTAGAGTTACAGTAGAGTAGAGTCGTAGTAGAGTAGAGTCACAGTAGAGTAGAGACACATTAGAGTAGAGTCACAGGAGGGTCACTGTAGAGTACTGTCACAGTAGAGTAGAGTCACAGTAGAGTCACAGTAGAGTAGGGGCACAGTAGAGTAGAGTCACAGGCAAGTCACTGTAGAGGACAGTCACAGGAGATTCACAGTAGAGTAGAGTCACAGTAGAGTATTCACAGTATAGTAGAATCACAGTAGAGTAGACTCACAGTCGAGTCACAGCAGCATCACAGTATAGTAGAGTCCCAGCAGAGTCAAGTCACAGTAGAGTAGAGTCAAAGTAGAGTCCCAGTAAAGTCCCAGTAGAGTGGAGTCACAGTAAAGTAGAGTAACAGTAGAGTCACAGTTAAGTGAATTCACATTAGAGTAAAGTAAAGTAGAGTCACAGTAGTCACAATAGAGTAGAGTCACAGTAGTCATGGTAGAGTCACAGTAGAGTCACAGAAGTGTAGTCACAATAGTATACAGTAGAGTAGAGTCATAGTATAGTAAACTCATAGTAGAGTAGAGTCACAGTAGATTAGAGTCACAGTAGAGTAGAGTCACAGTAGTCACAGTAGAGTAGAGTCACAGTAGTCACGGTAGAGTAGAGTCACAGTAGAGTACATTGACAGTAGAGTCATAGTAGAGTTGAGTCACAGTAGAGTCACAATATAATCACAATATAGTAGAGTCACAGTAGATTAGAGTCACAGAAGAGTAGAGTCACAGTAGTCACAGTAGAGTATAGTCACAGTATAGTCACAGTAGAGTAGTCACAGTAGTGTAGAGTCACTGTAGAGACAGGGTAGAGTCACAGTAGTTTTTCCTGACCATGCCACCTGACCTAGGAAAACTCTGTGCCCTAGAGTTTTTACCTGGTCAGGTGTAGGGCTGTTGTGGTGACCATATTACCGGCAGTCATGAGTCAGGACAATTCCATGTGACCATTGAGTCACGGTAATCTCATTTTATGCACTCCAGACATGCATTGGTGCAACCCAACTCACTAACGACCATCAGGTCTCTAATGGCCTGGTACTCAGGGCTCTAATCATCACATCAAACACTTATCATCATATGCATATTAGAGCTCATGCATATGCATACACATAGGCCTATACAGTGCATTCGGAAAGTATTCAGAGCCCTTGATTTTTTCCAAGTGTTGTTACGTTACAGCCTTATTCTAAAATATATATTTTAAAAATAACAAATATTAATCTACACAAAATACCCCGTAATGACAAAGCGAAAACAGGTTTTTAGAAATTTTAGCAAATGTATTAAAAATCTAAAACAGAAATACCTTATTTACATATGTATTCAGACCCTTTGCTTTGAGACTCGATATTGAGCTCAGGTTCCCTGTTTCCATTGATCGTCCTTGAGATGTTTCTACAACTTGATTGGAGTCCACCTGTGGTAAATTCAATTGATTGGACATGATTTGGAAAGGCACACACCTGTCTATATAAGGTTCCCACAGTTGACAGTGAATGTCAGAGCAAAAACCAAGTCATGAGGTTGAAGGAATTGTCTATAGAGCTCAGAGACAGGATTGTGTCAAGGCACAGATCTGGGGAAGGGTACCAAAAAATGTCTGCAGCATTTAAGGTCCACAAGAACACAGTGGCCTCCATCATTCTTAAAATGGAAGAAGTTTGGAACCACCAAGACTCTTCCTAGAGCTGGCTGCCCGCCCAAACTGAGCAATTGGTAGAGAAGAGCCTTTGTTAAGGGAGGTGACCAAGAACCCGATGGTCACTTTGACAGAGCTCCAGAGTTCCTCTGTGGAGATGGGAGAACCTTCCAGAAGGACAACCATCTCTGCAGCACTCCACCAGTCAGGCCTTTATCGTAGAGTGGCCAGACGGAAGCCACTCCTCAGTAAAAGGCACATGACAGCCCACTTGGAGTTTGCCAAAAGGCACCTAAAGACTCTCAGACCATATGAGAAAATGGTTCTCTGGTCTGATGAAACCAAGATTGAACTCTTTGGCCTGAATGCCAAGCGTCACGTCTGGAGAAAACCTGGCACCATCCTACGGTGAAGCATGGTGGTGGCAGCATCATACTGTGGGGGTGTTTTTCAGCGGCAGGGACTGGGAGACTAGTCAGGATTGAGGCAAAGATGAACGGAGCAAAGTACAGAGAGATCCTTGATGAAAACCTGTTCCAGGCCGCTCAGGACCTCACACAGCCAAGACAACGCAGGAGTGAATGTCCAGTTTCCGGACTTGAACCTGATCGAACATCTCTGGAGAGACCTGAAAATAGCTGTGCAGCGACGCTCCCCGTCCAACCTGACAGAGCTTGAGAGGATCTGCAGAAAAGATTGGGAGAAACTCCCCAAATACAGGTGTGCCAAGGTTGTAGCGTCATACCCAAGAAGACGCAAGGCTGTAATCGCTTCCAATGGTGCTTCAACAAAGTACTGAGTAAAGGGTCTGAATACTTATGTAAATGTGATATTTCCTTTTTTTTATTTTTAATACATTTGCAAAAATGTCTAAAAACCTGTTTTTGCTTTGTCATTATCGGGTATTGATGAGGGAAAAAAACAAATGTAATCCATTTTAGAATAAGGCTGTATGTAACAAAATGTGGAAACTGTCAAGGGGTCTGAATACTTTCCAAATGCACTGTATATGAGCCCAAGCCTGAAATATAACCTGAACTATAATGATTGTGCAGTTATGCAATACATAGCCTACCGAATATTATGCACGACAGAAAAACATAAAAAGCACTGATTTAAGATGTCTTTGGTATATGATTGGTCTAGCCTATACTCCAAAATTAAACAAATTCTAGTAATGGCCTTTGAGTGTGGACTGTATTATTATGCATACTGGATGGACTGGTTACCTTATGCTATGCGCCAAACGTTCTATCCATGAGTCTGGGAGAGAACATATAGGCCTAGGCGATGTTTTTGGTTCACTGATTGTGCAGCTTACAGAGTCAGCCTACAATTATAGTGAATTTCTATTTGATTTTGAATAGCTTAGTAAGAGGGCATTTCTTTTATTTCCATAATTAATAGGCTAACACATTACCTTTAGCTACAGAATATCTCACCACTGCGCATTTCCATCTCCTCTCTCTCCTTCATTCCTTTCTCGAGCACGAATTGAGAGGGGCTGTGTAACAGTGTAATGAAATATGTTTAATGGTGAAAACATCGAATTTGGTTTGCCAAATTAAGCACTGGGTAGCTGCAGGAACAGGGTTGGAGAGGCAATGGCATACAGAGTTTGGGACGGAATACCTGTCACGGAGCGAGAGGCATTATGCTCCTCAAACAGTGGTTGATGCATGGAGTGAAATAACCGGAGTAGCTTAATTGGCATGATTGAAAAAAGAACAAAGGACCTGCAGGAAAGCAGCCTCCATTCGCTATTCTAGTGCATACAGATAGCCAGTAGCGATGTGTGGGTAAAATCACTGGGGAAGCCAACCCAGAAAAAAATGCCATATTACAACCTACTGTATGTGTTGTGATAATTGTGTTGTTTGCTCTATAACCTGTTAGTTGATATGCCTTGACACTGTGATATGTAGGCCTAAAGGCAATAAGAAAACACAGTGGCAGAATAAATTCAACCACACCTTCGTTTCATTACAAAACCGGAGAGCAACATCTGTTGTCCTAGGCTACCTGGCTAAAATACCTGCTCGCTAGCTTAACTTCCTTTCATGGGAAATGATGCGCCAGGCCAGCTAGTTAACATTAGCATACTACATCTAGCTACATGTTGAACTTCCATCCTCTCAGGCCAGGGGCACAATGTATGAATTTATGGTTGGATCAGAATCGCCGTTATAATCATTGGCCAGTACGGAGAATTAGGTACAACCACAACCACAAGTCCAAATCCCTATCTCCATCCATGACTAATTTAGGAAAGGGACGATTTTAGCTAGCTAGCCACCAGAGGACAACAACACAACGAGATGCAACAATTCAAGTTTTTTTTCTGTCAATAATGACGTTTGGCTTGTGATGTGATTGGTCTGAAGCCAAATCCAAATTGGCTTCCCTTGACACTTTTTTTGGTGCGCCAGGACCATTCACAGCTTAGCTTGCTCAGTTTAGATCAACACTGATTGGCTATTATTTTATATATTTCTTTATCAAGGGAGGCCAAATGCTCGCTGGCTTCCCTTCCATTCAATGCTATGGGCGGCAACAATGTTTTTGCTACTTTCTCAAATCATCAATAGCCTATAGTCGCATCATGCAGCCCATATATGTTTTGACTTCTGTGACATTCTAAGGTTTGTATCATTCACAACTAAAGTTGCCAAAGAACTCTAAATCTAGTGTATAGGACCTGTTTCAAATGATCACTTTTACGCTCAACATAGCCACTTCATATGTACACTCGTTCCGGAATGGGAAAAATATCCCCTTTCTATTTTATTCAGCTAAGTTAAATTATATTCTTCTCACTATTAAATAATAAATCATATAATATAAATAATAAATCATATAATATAAAATAATGGCACAGGACTTAAGCATATCTTGTCTACTAAATGAACAAGCCAACAGCCTAAGCATGACACATAGCCAGATAACATACAGTAGGCCAACTAATATTCTGTTCTAAAAGGTGAGTATGCACTTGGGTGGCAGATTTCTGGTAACTTTCCCCAAAATCCCAATCGATAAAATTCCCAGAATCAGGATAGAAAAGGTAGGACATCTGTAATTCTCCAACCAGGATTTCTGGAAAACCTGGGAATTTGGGGAAAGTTATGGGAAATGTCCAATCCTAGTCCAGTCGTGTACCTCAGCTATGCCCTCCATGGGCCTCTGGTTGTCCACCTGCAGGATGCCACTCTTGGCTGTACGAGAGACCCGCAGCTCATGCCATGTGCCTATACTGACCTGCTCCTCACTCCTACACATGCATGCGCACGCACGCACACAGACAAACACACACACACGCACACAGACACAGACACACACAGACAGGAAAAGCTTGGGTCAAACAGTCACCATTTCCAATACATATGAACAAAGAGTTGCCAGCACAAGTCTACAAACACTACAAAACAGTCATAACAAAGTCGTATCTTCTAAAGATCTTTCAATGAAGCCTGTACCTAATGACGGACCCTCCCGAGCCACAGTCAAAACGGAACTCCACGTATCCTTCCACCAGGTTGATAGACAGGAAGTCCCGGCTGCCGGCGTCGTCGCTGTAGAGCAGCGTGCCGTCAGGACTGGTCGGCTGGAAGGTGATCTCAAACTCCATGAAGGACAGGTAACTGAGGAGGGACTGGGGCCAAGGGGCGCTAGCGTACGAAAACATGGTCTCGTTGAAGAGCGGCAGAGACAGCAGGAAACCTGGCAGTGGTTTTAGATAGAGGGACAGGTTTTAGATAGAGTGACAGGTTTGAGATAGAGGGACAGGTTTGGGATAGAGGGACAGGTTTGGGATAGAGTTGGGGGAGAAGAGTTGGAAAATGTTTCCTAATCGAACGCTGATCTTTCTAAGTAGCATGCAGGGTCTGTAGCACAATAAAGAAACATGTCTATGGCTTATGTCACAACTGTACAAGTATGATTTAATGGGCAGAAGCCAGTATTGAATACCTAAATGTATTAATCAATGAATTAATATGTTTCTAATAACACCATATTATTATAGCTATATTATAGAGGGGGGTGAGGGAGAGAGAGAGAGGGGATTGAGGGGAGAGCAGGGGGTGAGGGAGCAGGAGAGAGGGGGATGACGGGGGAGAAAGAGTGGGGGGATGAGGGAAAGAGTGGGGGGATGAGGGAAAAGGAGGAGGAGGGGGATGAGGGAGATGGAGGAGAGGGGGATGAGGGAGGAGAGAGGGGGATGAGGGAGAGAGAGAGGGGGAGAGGGGGAAGGGGGAAGAGAGAGGGGGGGATGAGGAGAGAGGGGGGGGGGATGAGGGAGAGAGGGGGATGAGGGAAGAGGGGGATGAGGGAAAAAGAGAGAGGGGGAGGGGAGAGAGAGGAGGGGGAGGGAGAGAGGGGGGAGAGGGAGAGAGAGAGGGGATGAGGGAAAGAGAGAGGGGGATGAGGGAGGGGGGGGGAAAAAGGAGGGGGATGAGGGAGAGAGAGGAGGGGGAGAAAGGGGGAAAAGGAGGGGGAGGGAGAGAGAGGGGGGGGGAGAAGGGAGGAAAAAGAGGGGATGAGGAGAGGAGAGGGGGGGAGAGGAGGGGATGGGAGGGGGGGAGAGGAGAGAGGGGGGAAAGGGGGAGAGAGAGGGGGATGAGGGAGCAGAGGGGGGATGAGGGAGAGGAGAGGGGGGGAGGGGGGGAGAGGAGGGGGGGTGAGGGAGAGAGGGAGAGGGGGAGAGGGAAGAGGAGGGGGGAGGGGGGAAAGAGAGAGGGGGATGAGGGAGAGAGAGAGGGGAAGAGGGAGAGAGAGAGAGGGGGAGGGGGGAAAGAGAGAGGGGGAGAGGGAAGAGAGAGGGGGATGAGGGGAAGAGAGAGGGAGGGGGATGAGGAAAAAGAGGGGGGGATGAGGGGGAGAGGAGGGGGAGGGGAAAAGAGGGGGAGAGGGGAGAGAGGGGGAGAGGGAGGGAGGGGGGATGAGGGAGAGGGGGGGGAAGGGAGAGAGGGGAGGGGGAGGGAGAGAGGGGGATGAGGGAGAGAGAGAGGGGGATGAGGGAAAGAGAGGGGATGAGGGAGAGGAGGAGGGGGATGGGAGGGGAGAGAGAGGGGGATGAGGGAGAGAGAGGGGGGATGAGGGAGAGAGAGAGGGGGGTGAGGGAGAGAGAGGGGGGGGAGGAGAGAGGGGGGGTGGGGAAAGGGGGGGGGGATAGGGGAGAGAGGGGGGGATGAGGGGGGAGGGGGATGAGGGAAAGAGGAGGGGGGGGGGGAAGGGGGGAGAGAGAGAGGGGGAGGGGAAGGGAGGGGGGGAGAGGGAGAGAGAGAGGGGGGAGGGGAGAGAGGAGGGGAGAGGGAAAAAAGAGAGGGGGTGAGGGGGAGGGAGAGGGGGAGAGGGAGAGAGAGGGGGGGGGGAGGGGAGAGAGGGGGATGAGGGAAAAAAGAGGGGGGAGAGGGGGGAGGGGGAAGGGAGAAGGGGGGGGGGAGGGAGGGGGGAGGGGGGGGGGGGGATGGGGGGAGAAAAGGGGGGGGGGAGGGGGGGGGTGGGGGGGGGGGGGGGGGGGAGGGGAGAGAGGGGGATTGAGGGGGGGGGAAAAGGGGGGGGGGGGGGGGGGGAAAAAAAAGGGGGGGGGGGGAAAAAAAATTTGGGGGGGGGGGGGGGTTAAAATTTTTTTTTAAAAACCATATTTTTATAGCTAAAACTGCTCTGTAAAAGGGGCTATGCAATGCAATCAAAGACAAACAAAATCTTAAAAAAATCAATACAAAGTATTCACAATTGCATTTTTACAGTTGGTTGAGAGAATCAGCGATATTCCCCCAAAAGACCATTCCCTACAAGTACATTTGACCAGGCCCCAGGGCATTGTGATCCCCATAGAGGACGGAAAAAGGGCTCACTCTCTTCCCCGGGGCCCCTGAAGCCAGAGGGCCAGACAGATGTACCCGTCCCCCCGGTTTGGGAAAGCAGATCCCTGTTGGGCAGGGCACCTCTCACAACACGTCCTCACCACCTGGAGAACAAAGAAGAGGACCAACACAGACTTGGGTTTAAGCGACCGTTTACTCAAAAAACAACAACAACAAACCCCCCTGTCCACGTTTTTGCAAACCCAAGAAATGTTGCGTAAAATTTTCCCCTTTTGTACAAAGTAAAACCTGTGAAGATGTGTTTTTTTGATGTTTAGAAAAATCTCTTTAACGCCCCCAAAACAAAAGAACTACTTTTAAAGCCCCCCCCCCAAATCTAAATGAACTCTCTTAACGCCCCCCAACTCAAAGAACTTTTTTAAACCCCCCCCCTAAAATTTTAAATTAACTTTTTAACTGCCCCCTAACTTAAAAAATATCTCTTTTAAATGCCCCCCTAAAATCTAAATTAACTATCCTTTAATGGCCCCCTAACTTAAATTAACTCTCTTAATGCCCCCAAATCAAATAAATCCCTTAACGCCCCAACTCTAAATAATTCCTTTTTCCCCAAATTAAATTAACTATCCCCTTTAACCCCCTAACTCTAAATTAACTCCCCAAAATCCCCCAATTAAAAATCCTTAACGCCCCTAAAAACTAAATTAACTTTCTTTAATGCCCCCAAATTAAATTAACCCCCCCCCCCCCAACCCAAAAATTCCCCCCCCCCCTAAAATTTAAATAACTTTTCCTTTTAAGCCCCTAACTCTAAATAAAATTTCTCCCCCCCAAAAAAACCCCCCAACCCCCCCCAAAAAAATTTTCCCCCTTTTTCCCCCCCCTTTAAAAAAAAATTTTCCCCCCCCCCCTTTTAAATTTCCCTTTTTTTCCCCCCAAAATTTTTTTTAAACCCCCTCCCAAAACCCCCCCCTTTTTCCCCCCAAAAAACCCCTTTTTTTTTCCCCCCCCCCCCCCCTTTTTAAAAACCCCAAAAAAAATTTTTTTTTAAACCCCTTTTTCTTTTAAAAATTTTTTCCCCCCCCCAAAAAAAAAAAAAAAAACCCCCCCAAAAATTTTTAAATTTTTTAAACCCCCCCCTTTCCCCCAACTCAAAAAAAAAAAAAACCCCCCCCAAAAAAAACCCCCCTCTTTAAAAAAAACCCCCAATTTTTTTTCCCCCCTTTTCCCCCCAATTTTTTAAAAACCCCCCCCTTTAAAAAACCCCCCCCCCAAAAAAATTTTTTTCCCCCCCTTTTTTCAAAAACCCCCTTTTTTTTCCCCCCTTTAAAAACCCCCTTTTTTTTTTCCCCCTTTTCCCCCCAACCCCCCCCTTTTTCCCCCCCCCTTTTTTTTTCCCCAAAAAAATCAAAAAACCCCCCCCAAAAAAAAAAAAAATTTAAAAAAAACCCTTAAATCCCCCAAAAAAACCCCCCCCCAAAAAACCCCAAAAACCCCTTTAAAAAAATTTCCTTTTCCCCCCCCCAAAACCCCCCCCTTTTTTTTGCCCCAAATTTAAAAAAACCCCTTTTTCTTTTTCTTTTTCCCCCCCCCCCCTTTTTTTTTAACCCCCTTTCCCCCCCAAAAATTCCCAAAAAAACCCCCCCTTTTTCCTTTTAAACCCCCTTTAAAAAACTTTAAAAACCCCCCCTTAAAAAAAATTTTTTTTCCCCTTTTTTTTCCCCCCCCCCAAAACCCCCCTTTAAAAAACCCCCCCTTTTTTTCCCCCCCAAAAATTTTTTAAAAACCCCCCCCCTCTTAAAAAACCCCCCCTTTTTTAAAAAAAACTTAAAAACCCCCCCCCTTTTTTTCCCCCCTTTTAACCCCTTTTTCCCCCCCCAATTTTAAAAAAACCCCCCCCCCCAAAAAAAAATTTTTTTTCCCCCCCAAATCTAAAAAAATCTCTTAAAACCCCCCCCCCCAAATTAAAAAATTCCCTTTTCCCCCCCCTTTTTAAAATTTTTTTAAAAAAAAAACCCCCCAAATTTAAAAAAAATTTTTTCCCCCCCCTTTTTTTAAAATTTTTCCCCCCCCCCCTAACCTTTAAAAAAATTTTTTTAAAAACCCCCTTCCAAATTTCCCCCCTTTTTTTTTCCCCTTTCCCCTTTAAAAACCCCCTTTTTTTCCCTTTTTTTTTCCCCCCCCCCCAAAACCCCCAAATTTTTTAAAAAAAAAAAACCCCCCCAAAAAAACTTTTAAAAAACCCCCAACCCCAAAAAAAAAATTCCCCTTTTTTTCCCCCCCCCAAAAAATTTTAACTTTTTTTTTTAAAATTTTTTAAAAAAAACCCCCCCCCCCTTTTTCTTTAAAAATTTTTTAAATTTTTAAAAAAAATTTTTTTTTAAAACCCCCCTTTTTTTTCCCCCCTTTTTAAAAAAAAAAAAACCCCCCCCCCCAAAAAAAAATTTTTTCCCCCCCCCTTTTTAAAAAATTTTTTAAAAAACCCCCTTTTTTTAAAAAAATTCCCCCCCCAAAATTTTTTTTAACTTTTTCCCCCAAAAAAATTCCCCCTTTTTTAAAAACCCCCCCAAAAAACCAAATTTTTCCCCAAAACCAAAAATTTAAAAAAACCCCCCCTTTTTAAAAAAATTTTTTAAAAACCCCCCCCCTTTCCTTTTTTGCCCCAACCCCTTTTTTTTTTTAAAAAAAAATTTTTTTAAAAACCCCAAAAAAATTAAAAACCCCTTTTTTTTAAAAAAAAAACCAATTTTTTCCCCCCCAAAACCCCAAATTTTTAAACCCCCCCCTAATTTTTAAAAACCCCCCTTTTTTTTTTTTTTTTTTTAAAAAAAAATTTTTTCCCCCCCTTAAAAAATTTTTTTTCCCCCCCCCCCCAAAAAAAAAATTTTTCTTTTTTCCCCCCCCCAAAAATTCCTTTTCCCCCCTAATTAAAAAAACCCCTTTTTTCCCCCCCCCCTCTTAATTTTTTTAACTTCCCCCCCAAAAAAAAATTTTTTTTTCCCCCCCCTTTTTTTTCCCCCCCCCTTTTTTTTTAACTTCCCCCCCCCCAACCCCGGGGTTTTAAAAAAATTTTTTAAAAAATTTTTTTTTTTAAAAAAACCAAAAATTTTTTCCCTTTTTCCCCCCAAAAACAAATTAAAAAACCCCTTTTTCCCCCCCAAAAAAAAAAGCCCCCCCCAAAAAACTTTTTCCCCCCCCCCTAACTCTAAATGAACTATCCCTTTAAACAGCCCCTAACTCTAAATGAACTCTCTTTAAACTGCCCCCTAACTCTAATTAACTATCTTTTAACTGCCCCCTAACTCTAAATTAACTATCCTTTTAACTGCCCCCTAACTCTAAATTAACTATCCTTTTAACTGCCCCCTAACTCTAAATTAACTATCCCTTTAACAGCCCCCTAACTCTAAATGAACTCTCTTTAACTGCCCCCTAACTCTAAATTAACTATCTCTTTAACTGCCCCCTAACTCTAAATTAACTATCCTTTTAACTGCCCCCTAACTCTAAATTAACTATCCTTTTAACTGCCCCCTAACTCTAAATGAACTATCTCTTTAACAGCCCCCTAACTCTAAATAAACTATCTCTTTAACTGCTCTTCCTCCCGGGGAAGGACTGCCCGTTCCATGATCTCGCCATCACGGTTGACAACTCCGCTGTGTCCTCCTCCCAGAGTGCGAAGAGCCTAGGCGTGACCCTGGACAACACCCTGTCGTTCTCCGCCAACATCAAGGCGGTGACCCGCTCCTGCAGGTTCATGCTCTACAACATTCGGAGAGTGCGACCCTGCCTTACACAGGAAGCGGCGCAGGTCCTGGTCCAGGCACTTGTCATCTCCCGTCTGGACTACTGCAACTCGCTGTTGGCTGGGCTCCCTGCCTGTGCCATTAAACCCCTACAACTCATCCAGAATGCCGCAGCCCGTTCTGGTGTTCAACCTTCCCAAGTTCTCTCACGTCACCCCCCTCCTCCGCACACTCCACTGGCTTCCAGTTGAAGCTCGCATCCGCTACAAGACCATGGTGCTTGCCTATGGAGCAGTGAGGGGAACGGCACCTCTGTACCTTCAGGCTCTGATCAGTCCCTACACCCAAACGAGGACATTGCGTTCATCCACCTCTGGCCTGCTGGCTCCCCTTCCTCTGCGGAAGCATAGCTCCCGCTCAGCCCAGTCAAAACTGTTCGCTGCTCTGGCACCCCAATGGTGGAACAAGCTCCCTCACGACGCCAGGACAGCGGAGTCACTCACCACCTTCCGGAGACATTTGAAACCCCACCTCTTTAAGGAATACCTGGGATAGGATAAAGTATTCCTTCTAACCCCCCCCCCCCCCCCCCCAAATTGTAAAGTGGTTTATCCCACTGGCTATAGGGTGAACGCACCAATTTGTGAGTCGCTCTGGCTAAGAGCGTCTGCTAAATGACGTTAATGTGCCCTTGAGCAAGGCACTTAACCCTAATTGCTCCTGTAAGTCGCTCTGGTTAAGAGCGTCTGCTAAATGACTAAAATGTAAATGTAAATGTAAACTGCCCCCTAACTCTAAATGAACTATCCCTTTAACTGCCCCCTAACTCTAAATAAACTCTCTTTAACTGCCCCCTAACTCTAAATTAACTATCCTTTTAACTGCCCCCTAACTCTAAATTAACTATCTCTTTAACTGCCCCCTAACTCTAAATTAACTATCTCTTTAACTGCCCCCTAACTCTAAATTAACTATCCTTTTAACTGCCCCCTAACTCTAAATTAACTATCCTTTTAACTGCCCCCTAACTCTAAATGAACTATCTCTTTAACAGCCCCCTAACTCTAAATAAACTATTTTTTTAACTGCCCCCTAACTCTAAATGAACTATCCCTTTAACTGCCCCCTAACTCTAAATGAACTATCCTTTAACAGCCCCCTAACTCTAAATAAACTATCTCTTTAACTGCCCCCTAACTCTAAATGAACTATCCCTTTAACTGCCCCCTAACTCTAAATTAACTCTCTTTAACTGCCCCCTAACTCTAAATTAACTATCTCTTTAACTGCCCCCTAACTCTAAATTAACTATCCTTTTAACTGCCCCCTAACTCTAAATTAACTATCCTTTTAACTGCCCCCTAACTCTAAATTAACTATCTCTTTAACAGCCCCCTAACTCTAAATTAACTATCTCTTTAACTGCCCCCTAACTCTAAATGAACTATCCCTTTAACTGCCCCCTAACTCTAAATTAACTCTCTTTAACTGCCCCCTAACTCTAAATTAACTATCTCTTTAACTGCCCCCTAACTCTAAATTAACTATCCTTTTAACTGCCCCCTAACTCTAAATTAACTATCCTTTTAACTGCCCCCTAACTCTAAATAAATGTATTTGTACAGCCAGACTTGGCCAATAGATTGAATGTGGATGACACTACCACAGAGGAAGAGCCAAGCGTAAGAAAAGTTTTTCACTGCTGTCTATCCCTATCCTACACATCATCATTATGGGATGGGATGTGTATTTCATATCATCTTTCTTTGGACGAATCACCTCATTGATTTCACCTATATGGTGTTACAGTGTGAGTCCGCACTTTGACACAGAGTGAGAACCAGCGGTGCATCTCCCTCGTTCTGTCGACACTCATCAACATTGACTGTCCATTCAACTCCACACCCGGTATAAATACACTAATCGATATGGTGTCTGACTGTTGACCTACAGAAAGCCAGACAACAATCCAGCTCAAGTCTGACCTGGGGACAGATTCATTCCACAGACATGGCCAATAATATGGGCTGATGGACTTCTGTACATCAGAATATTCATGGTATTTGGACAAATTGACATTCTGTTAGAAGTGCTAGAACTAAAACTAGCAGTAGACGATTTTAAGACTTGAATGAAAAAGATAAAGAAACATCAGAAACCAGTGGGAATTAAGAAGATATAAGCTAGCTAGACATCCAGACGTGTATGGATCGGACCCCCTCCCTTACCGATGTCTGCCCCGCTCAGTGCGCTGCCTAGGGGCCAGGGTCTGAGATCCGTGGCCTTGTTGTTGATGGTCAGGCTCTGGATGCAGCCCTGGAAGCCCCGGTTGCTCCCTGTGGCCCTGACCAACCAATAGGCAGTGGGCGCCCCTCCCACGTACAACGGGCTTCGGAATGTGATCTTGGTGTACTGTCCCTGTGAGGAAGAAAGAGAGGGGGAAACCATTACAGTCAAGCAAATCTCTAACTAATCCTGGCAAAACAGAAAAAGCCAAATAGCAAACGTGATGCGCCAAAGCTCTCTAATGAGAGGGATTATCACCTGTCAATCATGGATGTATGCATTCCAAATGGCACCTTATTCCCTATATTGTCTACTACTTTAGGGATCTGGTCAAAAGTAGTGCACTACATAGGGAATCAGGTGCCATTTGGGACACAGACTATGATAGATCACACTTCCATCTCAGTGAAATATCGACCCAATCTAAAATCTGCTGGCTCTGCTGGTGTGTTCTGCCTTCACCTGTGAGCGTCCTGAAACGGGCGTGTCGTTGTCCATTCTCAGCCAGCCACTCACGCCGTCCCTGAATACGGTGACCGTGTGCCACTGTCCTGGCACCATACGAGTCTCACTGACTATCTGAGCTGCCCCCGTGCCACAGTTAAACCTGCAAAAACCACAACACATTGTCTGTCACCCCCCGACACAACCACACTGGCCCTATCACAGCATGCCTAATCTCTGTCACACAGTCTGGGATGAAGTTTCCCCTAAGTACAGATCTAGGATCAGCTTCTCCTCCCCCAATCCTAACCTTAATTATTAGTGGGGAAAATGCAAAACTGACACAAGATCAGCATCAAGGGGCAAATTCACCCTACACCCAGACAAACCCGTCGCAACCACACTGGTCACACACCTGTAATGCAGCTTGCCTCGTACAAGAGCCAGAGAGGTGAAATCTCCACGGCCATGTTCATTCTCCCCACAGTACAGCAACAAGCCATCCTCCAAGTCTGCCTAACACACAACACACACACAGATACAGATGGAAATACACACACATGCACAGACCACACACACACACACACACAGATACACACACACACACACACACAGATACAGATGGAAATACACACACATGCACAGACCACACACACACACACACGCACACACACACACACACACACACACACACACAGATACAGATGGAAATACACACACATGCACAGACCACACACACACACACACACAGATACAGATGGAAATACACACACACACACACAGATACAGATGGAAATACGCACACACACACACACACACACACACACACACACACACACACACACACACACACAACCAGTGGTATAGTACTGTACCTTGAATTCAAGGGTCATCTGAAAGGTCTGGTAAGAGTTCTTCAGAGGTTCAAAGGTCATGTGGGAGTGCCCATAGAACCTTGGGAACTGCACCGTCACTCCTGGCAAACACAGAGGAGGAAACACCAACTCATCTTTTGCCACTGTGTTTTACAATGACATTGATCGAGTCAGACAGTTGTGTGAGCATGCAACACACTCAACTGAATTCAAATACTGGGGCTCAAAAAAGTAGGAGCGCAGGGCAAAACAAGGTGGGAGACAGGATGGTATTCATTAGGGCACACCGTGGCAAAAGGCTTTGCAACGGAAAGCGAAAACAAGCGTTGGTTATTGGACAAGCTCAGGTATAGTCCATCCTTGTTTTAGTTTGTTTCTTCCATTTGGTGAGTATTTTTTATTTTTTTTAAACCTTTAATTAACAAGGGGCAAATTTGGTGAGTAATGAATACGACCCAGTTGAATTTAGGTGAAACACAAACATATTCAAAACTCTGCCCCCCCTCCCTTCTCCCTGCGCTCCACATGATCAATTTGTGACACATAATTAGGCCTACACAAGAGACCCCATCCACAGACCCTATCTCCACTACTAGAGAGACGTTCTTAGAGAAATAGAGGACACAGATCATTTTCAGAAGGACGTCTATAGACCTAAACTCAGCCACTGTCTCTGGGGTACCCCCCCCCCCCCCCCCCCCCCCCAATTATAGAGGATAGAACGCTCCGATTGCACAGGGTTGATCCATTCTCCCACAAGGAGAGGGGTTAAAAACACTCATTAAAGTCAGGAAAACGATTGTCAGGGTTTATAAGACTCAGGAGATAAGCTTTGAGTATATTTCTGAGGAGGAGGAGGAGGAGGAGGAGGAGGGGCAGGAGGAGGAGGAGGAGGAGCAGTTGAAGGAGGGGCAGGAGGAGGAGAAGGAGGGGCAGGAAGAGGAGGAGAGGGAGGAGGAGGGGCAGGAAGAGGAGAAGGAGGAGGAGGGGCAGGAAGAGGAGGAGGAGGAGGAGAAGGAGGGGCAGGAGGAGGAGGTGGAAGAGGAGCAGGAGGAGGAGAAAGCTGGCATTGTCCCTGTCCTAATCCAAGGTCCTAGTCCTCTCATCACAGGGTTAACTCCCCCTGACCTGACCTGGCCTGACTCACCATAGGAGCAGATGTCTCCACTACGGCCCAGGTTGCAGTGGCAACGGGAGCCTCCGCTATCGTAGTCACTGAGGCAGAAGCTGTCGGGGGGGCACACCGTGTCCTCACAGGCTAGGTCGTAGAGCCTGGGCACGGGGCCCATCCACTGGGTCATGGGGGGCGTCGAGGGTGTGGTGGGGCTGGGGGAAGGGGAAGACCTGTCGGTTGTGGGGCTGATGGTGACCAGCTCTGGGGTGACGGGGGTAAGTGGGGAGCCCAGCTCTGGGTCAGAGGAGGGGGAGGGGAGGAGGGTGGCGTTGGGCGTGGCCGTGCCCATCCTGTAGATGACGTTCCCGCCTGGCTGAGAGGATGGCGTACCAGACCGGGAGCGGAGCTGTGATCTCTGGTTGTCACCGTTGGGAATGGCAGGGAACGGCTTCAGCTGCGAAACGGCAAGATGGAGTAAGAGTGGTGCCAAGGTTAGTTTAGTTTGCTGGATTAGTTATTGGACAGACTGGGTTCATGCCAAAAACAAACGGTGTTGCCAAACGTATAGTTATACTTATAGAGCTGCTTTCTTCGACCCAGATGAACCCTATTCCTGGACCAAAAACCAATCTCAATTGATAATCTGCATTAAAAGTGCTTTTTGACCAAGGAAACCAGAACATACTGTTGTTAAATATTTGCCCTGAGAATAGCTTCCTGATTGGGATATGACAGATATAAGGATAAGATTGGTAGGGTGGCATATGGTGAGTTAGACCAGCTTTCCTGGGTTTCTAGGGCCCCTGTGACTGGTCTAGGGTGAATTTGCCCCTAGACACTGATCTTGGGACAGTTTTTCCTTTCCCCCACTAATGGTTAAGGTTAGGATTGGGAGAGGGGAAGCTGATCCTAGATCTGTACCTAGAGAAAACTTAACCCCAGAGCCCTGATGTACACGATGACCCACCTCCTCAATGAAGACATCGTAGTCAGAGTCATCTATGTCAAATCCGTCTTCATCTTTGATGTTGGCGTTTGTGATGTAGCGCTGGCCATAGCCGCTGCTGCCAACCTCTGCTGTGCCTGTGAATATGGACACTGCCTTTAATATTTCACAATATTATGTATGGAATTAAATAGATACAGTGTACAGTACAATATCAACATCATGGGACTATAACAAGAGCACAGTGAGTCACAATGTCACAGTTAGTCTGACTCTCAAGACAGATGGACAGGTGGGGACCATAGAGTTGGAAATAGCTGGTCATGCTAACAAAGGCTTTGTGGCAAGTACTCTATCCAACTCTATGGTGAGGACTTGGTCAGTGGGCAGCATACACACAGGGAACCCACAGGGAACCCACAGGGAACCCATGGTGCTGAGGATGATGGTGATTAGCTAATACATGTTGGTGGAATGATCCCCCTTATAGGGATGGATGACATACAGTAGTAGCCTGATCCCAGGTTAGTTTGTGCCGTCGTGTCAAAGTTATGACAAGGAGTTGACATAATAGCACAAACAGATCTGGGACCAGGCCAATACAGTAATTGTCCCAGGTCTACCTGTCACCGTGTAGAGAGCTTGTTTCACCACATACTGGAACCTGTCCTCGAGATAACCTGACCGTGCAGACAGAGACAAGGCTGAGTCCGGCCAGACAGTAGGAAACAAAAACACTGTGATGTTTAGGAATCCCCAACCTAAATGATTTATTTCAAATACAATGCTGTGTGTGCGTGTGTGCCCGTGCGTGTGTGTCCGTGTGTGTGTGTGTGTGTGTGTGTGTGTGTGTGTGTGCAGAACAAACTCAAAATAATTACTCCTAACCATAATGTAGAAGTGGGGTAAGGTTATTACTGACTGTAATGTAATTGTGGGGTAAGGTTACTACTGACCATAATGTAATGGTGGGGTAAGGTTACTGCTGACCATAATGTAGGAGTGGGGTAAGGTTACTACTGACCATAATGTAGGAGTGGGGTAAGGTTACTGCTGACCATAATGTAGGTGTGGGGTAAAGTTACTACTTACTATAATGTAGGAGTGGGGTAAGGTTACTACTGACCATATTGTAATGGTGGGGTAAGGTTATACTGACCATATTGTAGGAGTGGGTGATGGTTACTATTGACCATAACATAGGAGTGGGGTAAGGTTACTACTGTCCATAATGTAGGAGTGGGGTAAGGTTACTATTTTCCATAATGTAATGGTGGGATAAGGTTACTATTGACTATAATGTAGGAGTGGGGTAAGGTTACTATTGACCACAATGTAATGGTGGTGTAAGGTTACTACTGACCATAGTATTGGAGTGAGGTAAGGTTACTCCTGACCATAATATAGGGGTGGGGTAAGATTACTCTTGACCATAATGTAAAGGTGGGGTAAGGTTACTACTGACCATAACGTAGGAGTGGGGTAAGGTTACTACTGTCCATAATGTAGGAGTGGGGTAAGGTTACTACTGACCATAATGTAATGGTGGGGTAAGGTTATACTGACCATATTGTAGGAGTGGGTGATGGTTACTATTGACCATAATGTAGGAGTGGGTTAAGGTTACTACTGACCATATTGTAGGAGTAGGGTAAGGTTACGACATACTATAATGTAGGAGTGGTGTAAGGTTACTACTTTCCATAATGTAATGGTGGGATAAGGTTACTATTGACCATAATGTAGGAGTGGGGTAAGGTTACTATTGACCACAATGTAATGATGGGGTAAGGTTACTACTGACCATAATGTTGGAGTGGGGTAAGATTACTACTTACTATAATGTAGGAGTGGGGTAAGGTTACTACTGACCATAATGTAATGGTGGGGTAAGGTTATACTGACCATATTGTAGGAGTGGGTGATGGTTACTATTGACCATAACGTAGGAGTGGGGTAAGGTTACTACTGTCCATAATGTAGGAGTGGGGTAAGGTTACTCCTGACCATAATGTAGGAGTGTGGTAAGGTTACTACTTTCCATAATGTAATGGTGGGATAAGGTTACTATTGACCATAATGTAGGAGTGGGGTAAGGTTACTATTGACCACAATGTAATGGTGGTGTAAGGTTACTACTGACCATAGTATTGGAGTGAGGTAAGGTTACTCCTGACCATAATGTAGGAGTGGGGTAAGGTTACTACTTACCATATTGTAGGAGTGCGGTAAGGTCACTACTGACCACAATGTAATGGTGGGGTAAGGTTACTCCTGACCATAATATAGGAGTGGGTGATGGTTACTATTGACCATAACGTAGGAGTGGGGTAAGGTTACTACTGTCCATAATGTAGGAGTGGGGTAAGGTTACTACTGACCATAATGTAATGGTGGGGTAAGGTTATACTGACCATATTGTAGGAGTGGGTGATGGTTACTATTGACCATAACGTAGGAGTGGGGTAAGGTTACTCCTGACCATATTGTAGGAGTGGGGTAAGGTTACTATTGACCAAAATGTAGGACCATAATGTAGGAGTGGGGTAAGGTTACTACTGACCATTATGTAGGAGTGGGATAAGCGGTTCAGAATAAAACGGGTTGTGTTTAGTAAGGCGAAAATGTTTTGAAACAGAGTGAAAACAGAATGAGTCCTCAATGTGTTATGGTAAAGAAGATTGGCATTAAAACGATCCTGCCCTCTTTATTCTACAAATAAGACCCCCCCAACCTGCCCCCCTCCCCTCACGTGCCCCATGTTTTTTGTCATGCAGTGAGTTAATTTGGAGATATGGGTGCTAGTCAAATCCTGTACAAACACGCCCTTCCCCGCGGGGGGCAAACCTCCCCCCATCCTCCCGCTCTTAATCCTGTCTGATGAGACCAGGGCGTAACCCGATTTTCGCCCTGCGGGGAGAGGAGGGAGGGGGGGTGGCAGGCTTGTGACGCGGTGCGTTGGGACAGCCTCTCTGTCCAAACCACCAGGACTTAAGATGCTTCATTCAATCAGTCCAGTTTAACCCTGTGATTGCCACCATGCGTGCCAATGGCGAGGCGCGTCAACCGCCCACCCACATGGCTCTATGAGGTGGATTGACGGGACAACAGCCCCCACAGTCCTCCTCACAACATGGCATGGGGAACCTCTCTCTGCTCTGTAAAGTGTTAAACTTGTATTTGTTACGTATTGGGCTTCTTACCTCCTACCTGTATTTATTACCTTATGTTTACCTAATACAGTGTGGGTGCCAACAAATAAACAAATAAACAAACAAATAAATAAAACAAATAAACACACTTCCATACTTGCACACACGCACACACACACGCACACACACACCAGACTAAAGCTTACTTGCTAATGTTTGTCCATACACTGCCAGTCTACCACGGCCCCTCTCTCCCCCATGAAGACATTATTGATCTGGAGCCTCAGGGTTATCTCTGGGAGCCTCCTAAATAGCACCGTATTCCCTACATAGTGCACTACTTTTGACCAGGGCCAATAAGGATCTGTCAAAAGTAGTACACTATGTAGGGAATTAGATGCCATTTCACAGCCTCTCTCTCTCTCTCTCTCTCATGTCAATATCAATCAGCCCAAAACCTCCCCTCCCCCACCACACACACCAATTGTAATTTACATTATAATAATAGGAAAATATTATACAAATACAATTCTCTGGCACCGGTCCAAGTCTATCACTTTATCACCATGGACTTAAAGAAATGGACAGAAAACACATACACTCTCTATGCATGCAGACCTCTCACACACACACACACACACACACACACACACACACACACACACACACACACAGTGGCGGGGTAGATACCAGGGGTGCGGATGGGGTTGTTGATGGCGCTGGGAGGGCTCACTCCGTGGATGTTGGCGGCTCGAACCACAAACTGGAATTCCGTGTCGGGGCTTAACCCTTTCAGTACCATGGAGTTGGCCTCGATGGGCTCCCTGATGTAGGTCCACTCTGTGTCCAACTCAGGCCTGTGTGGAGGACACCATTCACATTACACTGGTGCACTGACTAAAACACTATTCATAATATAAAACACTGAAGGAAAAAAAAGAATATCTCATGAAATAATTAAATAATGCATTTATTAATTTTTTAACTGGGAGGAATATGTAGTGTTCAACTTCATTTTTTCTAAATTCATGGTCTGCATTAGTCTGCACCCTGTTTACGGGTGTGTTTCTCCAGCTCCATGCTTAACTACTAACTAGAGGGCCACTGACTGCAGAACTTCCATGTTGGCTTACAGGGTTCTCACCCCGATCTGCACACCTGTCCTGCACACTTCAAATCAAATCAAATCAAATGTTATTTGTCACATGCGCCGAATACAACAGGTGTAGACCTTAACGTGAAATGCTTACTTACAAGCCCTTAACCAACAATACAATTTTAAGAAAAATAAGAGTTAAGAAAAATATTTACTAAATAAACTAAAGTAAAAAATAAAAGAGCAACAATAAAATAACAATAATGAGGCTATATACAGGGGGTACCGGTACCAAGTCAATGTGCGGGGGTACAGGTTAGTTGAGGTAATTGAGGTAATATGTACATGTAGGTAGGGGTAAAGTGACTATGCATAGATAATAAACAGAGAGTAGCAGCAGTGTAAAAAAAGGGTGGGGTCAATGCAAATAGTCCGGGTAGCCATTTGATTAGCTGTTCAGCAGTCTTATGGCTTGGGGGTAGAAGCTGTTAAGAAGCCTTTTGGACCTAGACTTGGCGCTCCCGTACCACTTGCCGTGCGGTAACAGAGAGAACAGTCTATGACTAGGGTGGCTGGAGTCTTTGGCAATTTTTAGGGCCCTTCCTCTGACACCGCCTGGTATAGCGGTCCTAGATGGCAGGAAGCTTGGCCCCAGTGATGTACTGGGCCATACGCACTACCCTCTGTAGCGCCTTGCGGACGGAGGCAGAGCAGTTGCCATACCAGGCAGTGATGCAACCAGTCAGGATGCTCTCGATGGTGCAGCTGTAGACCTTTTTGAGGATCTGAGGACCCATGCCAAATCTTTTCAATCTCCTGAGGTGGAATAGGCGTTGTCGTGCCCTCTTCACGACTGTCTTGGGTGTGTTTGGACCATGATAGTTTGTTGGTGATGTGGACACCAAGGAACTTGAAGCTCTGAACCTGCTCCACTACAGCCCCGTCGATGAGAATGGGGGCGTGCTCGGCCTTCCTTTTCCTGTAGTCCACGATCATCTCCTTTGTCTTACTCACGTTGAGGGTGAGGTTGTTGTCCTGGTACCACACTTCAAGGTCTCTGACCTCCTCCCTATAGGCTGTATCATTGTTGTGTCGTCGGCAAACTTAATGATGGTGTTGGAGTCGTGCTTGGCCACGCTCTCATGGGTGAACAGGAAGTACAGGAGGGGACTGAGCACGCACGTCTGAAGGGCCCCCATTTTGAGGATCAGCGTGGCAGATGTGTTGTTGCCTACCCTTACCAACCTGGGGGCGGCCCGTCAGGAAGTCCAGGATCCAGTTGCAGAGGGAGGTGTTTATTCCCAGGGTCCTTAGCTTAGTGATGAGCTTTGAGGGCACTATGGTGTTGAACGCTGAGCTGTAGTCAATGAACAGCATTCTCACATAGGTGTTCCTTTTGTCCAGGTGGGAAAAGGGCAGTGTTGAGTGCACTAGAGATTGCGTCATCTGTGGATCTGTTGGGGCGGTATGCAAATTGGAGTGGGTCTAGGGTTTCTGGGATGATGGTGTTGATGTGAACCATGACCAGCCTTTCAAAGCACTTCATGACTACAGACGTGAGTGCTACGGGTCGGTAGTCATTTAGGCAGGTTACCTTGGTGTTGTTGGGCACAGGGACTATGGTGGTTTGCTTGAAACATGTTGGTATTACAGACTTGGCCAGGGACAGGTTGAAAATGTCAGTGAAGACACTTGCCAGTTGGTCAGCGCATGCTCTGAGTACACGTCCTGGTAATCCGTCTGGCCCTGCGGCCTTGGGAATGTTGACCTTGTTTAAAGGTCTTACTCACATAGGCTATGGCGAGCATGATCACACAGTCGGTCCGTAACAGCTGGTGCTCTCATGCATGCTTCAGTGTTGCTTGTCTCGATTCGCGCATAGAAGTAATTTAGCTCGTCTGGTAGGCTTGTGTCACTGGGTGGCTCGCGGCTTTGCTCCCCTTTGTAGTCCGCAATAGTTTGCAAACCCTGCCACATCCGACAAGCGTCGGAGCCGGTGTAGTAGGATTCAATCTTAGTCCTGTATTTACGCTTTGCCTGTTTGATGAATAGTCTGAGGGCATAGTGGGATTTCTTATATAAGTGTCCGGGTTAGAGTCCCGCTCCTTGAAAGTGGCAGCTCTACCCTTTAGCTCAGTGCGGATGTTGCCTGTAATCCATGGCTTCTGGTTGGGATATGTACGTACGGTCACTGTGGGGACAAGGTCATCGATGCACTTATTGATGAAGCCAGTGACTGATGTGGTATACTCCTCAATGCCATCGGATGAGTCCCGGAACATATTCCAGTCTGTGCTAGCAAAACAGTCCTGTAGCATAGCATCTGCATCATCTGACAACCTCCGTATTGAGTGTGTCACTGGTACTTTCTGCTTTAGTTTTTGCTTGTAAGCAGGAATCAGGAGGATATAATTATGGTCAGATTTGCCAAATGGAGGGCGAGGGAGAGCTTTGTACGCATCTCTGTGTGTGGAGTAAAGGTGGTCTAGAGTTTTTTTCCCTCTTGTTGCACATGTAACATGCTGGTAGAAATTAGGTAAAATGGATTTAAGTTTCCCTGCATTAAAGTCCCTGGCCACTACGTGCGCCGCCTCTGGATGAAAATGTTCTTGTTTGCTTATGGCTTTAGATGAAAACTCTCTTGGTAGATAGTGTGGTCTGCAGCTTATCATGAGATACTATACCTCAGGCAAGCAAAACCTTGAGACTTCCTTAATATTTGATTTCGTGCACCAGCTGTAATTGACAACTAGACACAGACCGCCACCACTTGAGTTACCGGAGGCAGCTGTTCTGTCTTGCCGATGCACGGAAAAACCCGCCAACTCTATATTATCCATGTTGTCGTTCAGCCACGACTCTGTGAAACATAAGATATTACAGTTTTTAATGTCCCGTTGGTAGGATAGTCTTGAACGGAGCTCATCCAGTTTATTCTCCAATGATTGCACGTTGGCCAATAGGACGGATGGTAGAGGCGGGTTACCCACTCGCCGACAAATTCTCACAAGGCACCCGGACCTGCGTCCCCTGTATTGGCGTCTTCTCTTCATGTGAATGACGGGGATTTGGGCCTGGTCGGGTATCTGGAGTTAAAGAAAATATCTTTGTCCAGTTCGAGGTGAGTAATCGCTGTTCTAATATCCAGAAGCTCTTTTCGGTCATAAGAGACGGTGGCAGAAACATTATGTACAAAATAAGTTACAAACAACGCGAAAAAAACACACAAAATAGCACAATTTGTTAGGAACCCGTAAAACGGCAGCCATCTCCAGCGCCATTCTTGTTCAGTGTCCCAACACGGTTCACAGGTCAAGGTTAAGACTTAACACGCTCGTCTCAACATAGCTTAACACAGAAACACCCCTCATTCTCAACTGATTGGCAGGCAACATCGGAATAATGTTTTTCAGCAAATGTTTATGTACAGTTGAATATATGCTAAGGTCTAGAAATATAAGAGATATATTGATGTAGCTCCATTTAAATCACTTTTTAGTCCAGGACAAGGCTCTGTGTCTTTTTAGTCCAGGACAAGGCTCTGTGTCTTTTTAGTCCAGGACAAGGCTCTGTGTCTTTTTAGTCCAGGACAAGGCTCTGTGTCTTTTTAGTCCAGGACAAGGCTCTGTGTCTTTTTAGTCCAGGACAAGGCTCTGTGTCTTTTTAGTCCAGGACAAGGCTCTGTGTCTTTTTAGTCCAGGACAAGGCTCTGTGTCTTTTTAGTCCAGGACAAGGCTCTGTGTCTTTTTAGTCCAGGACAAGGCTCTGTGTCTTTTTAGTCCAGGACAAGGCTCTGTGTCTTTTTAGTCCAGGACAAGGCTCTGTGTCTAGGAAACTGGCCCCTACTGTCCAGTGTACCCTGGCTGACGGGTGTGTTAGCAGGACTGAGCTGGTTGACTGACTCAACTCTCTGCCACTGGTACAGAAGTGGGCATCCCTTTATTAGAGGGGCATCCCTTTATTAGAGGGGCATCCCTTTATTAGAGGGGCATCCCTTTAACGACTGATTCTAAAGAACAACCGTTTCTACCTTTTTTCAAGGTTGCCATTTGATATTAGAATCTGGCAACGGATCAACCCAAATCCAAGTACTTGCTTGTTCTAACAGGCGTGAAACAGTATCTTACCCTATTGGCTGGGAACATGAGGATATTACAAATCAGACACTTGTCTGTCAGACGCTTGGCAGGGTGAGGTGATCAGAGTTTAACTTGTCTAGCTGTTACTTTTTATACTGTCCAGCTCGCTTTCCTCCGACAATGTTATTTTTTAAAATCAATACTTCTCATTTTAAATGGACTGTGTGAAGAAAACAGCTGTTCAAATAAAACCACTGTGGTTTGGTAGAGTTGAGAATTCAAACCGAAACATGCATTCTTGAGTGGAACAAATCTGCAGAAAGGTATAAAAACATTACCGTCTTCAGAGTGGTTTTCAGGGATCAACACAGTAGTGGCAAGGAATCTCAATAACCTTTACATTTCGGGTACTGCCATAAATAAGCCATTTTGTCATTTTGGATATGGTTAAGATATGTATTTGGATGTATACTACAACAGACCACAGACCACATATAGGCAGTACAAGGCTGACTAGAATTGTTAACCGCTAGCGTAAGCAAAATACACTAAATAGTCACTGTATAAACGTACCTGATGTAGGCAACGAGGAAGTGTAGAACTGGTGCACTTCCCTCGCTCTCACCCTGTGTCCACGACAACGCGAGCTCTGTGTCTGATACGGCCATGACAGTGGGCTGAGTCGGGGGGTGACGGGGGCATACACATCTCTGCGGATGGGGAAAGAACAACCCTGTCATATGACATTTAAATGTCCCGCTGAACTCAATGTAAGACCATGCTCGATTTACAAAGTCAATTCAATTCATCCTAGAGGCGGAGTTACAAGGAAGAAAACAATAAACAACAACATGACAACAAGAACAACATTAACATACCACAACATACTGTATAACATAGATGACATTAACATACCCCAACATACTGTATAACATAGATTACATTAACATACCACAACATACTGTATAACATAGATGACATTAACATACCACAACATACTGTATAACATAGATGACATTAACATACCACAACATGCTGTATAACATAGATGACATTAACATACCACAACATACTGTATAACCTAGATGACATTAACATACCACAACATACACAGGGTTTCTTGAACTTTTTCTGCACACAACCCAAAGTTGACACTAGAAAATGCAGGGGACCCAACTTGGAAAATGTATTCCCTAATTACTGCTGCGCGTTCATGTTCACTCCATTTTAGGTCCCGTGGGTTCTCTCTACACATAATACTGACATGAAGTGCTTTATTAGAATAGTGTAAAGGGCTCTTAGTTGACACTAAAAGGTTGTGTTCTATAAAAAAGTTATTAATTTGTTTGATAAGATTAGAGATTTTCTCAGGGGACCTCATTTAAGTTTCAAACCCCACGTTTGGGAACCACTGCACTAACACATACAGCACACTTCAGACAGGTCTAGCTTGCAGAGTAAAAAAAACAACAACAAAAAACATTTAATACAGCACAGTATTGTGGGTTCTGTGGTCACCTTTGCTGTCACCTCTGCTGTCACCCTTGCTTACCTTGTGAAGAAGTACTGACATCCCTAGGCATGCTAGGTCGGCCCTCGCCTGCCCATCCATACGCACCAACACTAACTCTGTACTGGGTGGCAACTTTAAGGTTACCAATGTCCACATCCTAGGAGAAAGGGTGAGAGACTGTGAGAGAGTGCATAGTAAGCTTGTCTGCTCTGAAACGTCCATTCACATACATACAAAGGCTTTGGATTAGCTTACATTAGACAACAATCATGTAACTTTAAAGTCTTGCACTCAAATATGTTTGGCACAAGTAGCACAGTTCTGTCTGAATACTACTTACAAAACTTGCTTGTCCATCCAACTGCCCCTAAGAGAGAATAAGACCCAAAATAATTAATCAGTAATTATGTTGGATTAAGTAGGATAAAACAAACAGTCAACTATTTTTTTTACAAGAAACACTATGTGATCTCCTCAAAACGGATTAAAAAATTGCTACTTTTAAAAGAATTCCACCAGATGCCCAATCATCTACTTCTATCACCCAGTTATTTTATCAATTACTGTAAGGACAAGTCCATACTGTTAGAATTACTGTAAAGGACACGTCCGTACTGTTAGATTTACTTTAAGGACACGTCCATACTGTTAGATTTACTTTAAGGACACGTCCATACTGTTAGAATTACTGTAAAAGGACACGTCCATACTGTTAGATTTACTGTAAAGGACACGTCCATACTGTTAGATTTACTTTAAGGACACGTCCATACTGTTACTTTAAGGACACGTCCATACTGTTACTTTAAGGACACGTCCATACTGTTACTTTAAGGACACGTCCATACTGTTACGGTAAGGACACGTCCATACTGTTACTTTAAGGACACGTCCATACTGTTACGGTAAGAACACGTCCATACTGATACTTTAAGGACACGTCCATACTGTTACGGTGACTGTAAGAACACATCCATACTGATACATCTGACAGTATCACTGCCACCACTCTGAGGAGAGGAGACGTTACTTACGGTGGTCAGCATGTCCAGACTGAGAGGCACCTCCAGTGTCACGGCAGTACTCACTGGCCGACTGTTCCTCATCTCTGTGTAGAACACCTGACAAACACACACATACGAACGCACACACACACACGAACACACGCACACACACTCACGCACACACACCCTGTGTTCAAGATTGTGCAGTATACTATCGTCAGGCTTAGAAAATGTACAAGGTGGCAACAAGGTGAAGTGTCCTTCTGAGGAGTAGAGAGAAAGGTAAGTGGGGAAAGTGGTAGGGCAGAGGACGTGTCTGTGTGTGTGTCTGTGTGTGTGTGTGTGTGTGTGTGTGTGTGTGTGTGTGTGTGTCTGTGTGTGTGTCTGTGTGTGTGTCTGTGTGTCTGTGTGTGTCTGTGTGTGTGTGTGTGTGTGTGTGTGCGTGTGTGTGTGTGTGTGTGCGTATGTGCGTGCATGTGTGTGTGTGAGTATCTGTTTCACAGCAAAAGCCTGGGTCCAGTACAATAAGCTTATCTTTATGTGAATGAGGAGCAGAAACATTATCCTGTCTTCTCTTTATGGGAATGAGGAGCAGAAACATTATCCTGTCTTCCCTTTATGGGAATGAGGAGCAGAAACATTATCCTGTCTTCTCTTTATGGGAATGAGCAGCAGAAACATTATCCTGTCTTATCTTTATGTGAATGAGGAGCAGAAACATTATCCTGTCTTCCCTTTATGGGAATGAGGAGCAGAAACATTATCCTGTCTTCCCTTTATGGGAATGAGGAGCAGAAACATTATCCTGTCTTCTCTTTATGGGAATGAGCAGCAGAAACATTATCCTGTCTTCTCTTTATGGGAATGAGCAGTAGAAACATTATCCTGTCTTCTCTTTATGGGAATGAGCAGCAGAAACATTATCCTGTCTTCTCTTTATGGGAATGAGCAGCAGAAACATTATCCTGTCTTCTCTTTATGGGAATGAGCAGCAGAAACATTATCATGTCTTCTCTTTATGGAATGAGGAGCAGAAACATTATCATGTCTTCTCTTTATGGGAATGAGGAGCAGAAACATTATCCTGTCTTCTCTTTATGGGAATGAGGAGCAGAAGCATTATCCTGTCTTCTCTTTATGGGAATGAGCAGCAGAAACATTATCCTGTCTTCTCTTTATGGGAATGAGCAGCAGAAACATTATCCTGTCTTCTCTTTATGGAATGAGCAGCAGAAACATTATCCTGTCTTATATTAATGGGAATGAGCAGCAGAAACATTATCATGTCTTCTCTTTATGGAATGAGGAGCAGAAACATTATCATGTCTTCTCTTTATGGGAATGAGGAGCAGAAACATTATCCTGTCTTCTCTTTATGGGAATGAGGAGCAGAAGCATTATCCTGTCTTCTCTTTATGGGAATGAGCAGCAGAAACATTATCCTGTCTTCTCTTTATGGGAATGAGCAGCAGAAACATTATCCTGTCTTCTCTTTATGGGAATGAGCAGCAGAAACATTATCCTGTCTTATATTAATGGGAATGAGCAGCAGAAACATTATCCTGTCTTCTCTTTATGGGAATGAGGAGCAGAAACATTATCCTGTCTTCTCTTTATGGGAATGAGCAGCAGAAACAATATCCGGTCTCCTCTTTATGGAAATGAGGAGCAGAAACATGATCATGTCTTCTCTTTATGGGAATGAGCAGCAGAAACATTATCCTGTCCTCTCTTTATGGGAATGAGGAGCAGAAACATGATCATGTCTTCTCTTTATGGGAATGAGCAGCAGAAACATTATCCTGTCCTCTCTTTATGGGAATGAGGAGCAGAAACATTATCATGTCTTCTCTTTATGTCAGTTTGAGATGAGAAACAGGAGCACCAATGCTTCTCGGTCCACGATGGTAATGAGGCCTTAGCTGACATTCACCACAAGGTCATCAGACTGCTGTCAAATCAGAGACAAAGCTGCGTCCCAAATGACACTTATTCCCTACTTAGTGCAGTACTTTTGAGTAGTGATGGGGGGAAAAATCGATACGGTTACATATCACAATAATATTTTGTACGATATTATATCGATATTTTGACTCCCAAGTGTCGATTTGTAAACAAATATATATATTCACACTGAACTCACTGATTCATAGATGAGCGCCTAATTAATTCATTTTAATTGACTGAATGCCTTTTATGAACTGTAACTCAGTAAAATCGTTGAAATTGTTGCATGTTGCGTTTATATTTTTGTTCAGTGTATAAATATATATATTTTTGCTAGGTAGCGTTAGTTAGTGTTAGTCAGCTGCACCTGCGCCAAAACTCTATTTTTGATCCTGCAGCTTGTTCTCCATCTTATTTTTAAATAGTTGGCCAACATGTATTTTATTTCCATGACTGATCCATGACTAATAAAAAACGAATGTTCTCATGGTCTCTCTGCTGCAGACATATAGTGAGCAATACGTTTTGGAACATCAAATTGCAATAAAATCGCAGTATCGAATCACAATACAAATAGAATCCTGAGAATCGCAATAAACATCCTGTTGGCACCTAGGTATCGTGATAATATCATATCGTGAGGTCCCTGGCAATTCCCAGCCCTACTTTTGACCAGGGCCCATAGGACTCTGGTCAAAAGTAGTGTACTATAAAGGGAATAGGGTGCCATTTGGGTGCAGATAGAGACAGTTCTGCTTGACCTCATATCATGTAACATTAAACAAATAAGTCTGCTTGAAAACATCCATCTGTTAAGGGTAGTGATCTGCACGCCACGTTCCATGTACTGTGTATGACCACGTTCCAGACCCACTACATTGCTGTCGAGCTGATGCGGGGATCAGATTGCAATATCATATGATGTGCTTGACAGATATGTTAAACCAGGCACTGTGAGATGTGACAGACTGCAAAGTAGTCAGCCTGAAACGTGGTCACTGTGTTGGTGTATGTAAGCCAATTGTTACCTTGTAGCCTGTGATGGTGCTAACATGACGCCGGGGCATCTTCCATCGCACACTGAAGGCTGTGCAGTTCACCGTCTCCAACTGGATGTCCAATGGAGGGCTGAGGCGCTCTGTATGGGCCAGGTAATGATGTCATCAAAATGGGTCAAAGTGAAAAGGCAGTGGTACTCATTAGGGGTTATAGGTCATTCACAATCCAAGAAGCGACAACAAATAAGAGTGATCTACAACCAATATGTAATCATAAATACTGTACAAATACTGTCCCTCTGTAAATGAGTTCAAGAGTTAAAACACACACACACACATGCTGTAATAAAAAATGATGTGTTTGACTGCCGCAACAGATACACTGCTAATATTTGACATTACACTGATTCTGCAGACAACCAGAATTTTCAGAGGACCTAATTAATCTCTTCATTTAGTGCCCTTCTGAGTAAGCAACCATAGAGCCGGGTCCATGGGTAGTGCACTATGTAGGGAATATGGTGCCATTTGGACCCAGGCAGCCAGAGTAAAACACTACTCTGGAGCTCTCACACACCCATGGTAGAGACAGTACATGGACCAGAACTTCCACTGTGACTCACTTGCTGAAACCTAATGTCAGCACTGCACTTAGAACAGACTTTTCCAGAGCAGTGAGAGGAGAAGAGGGCCCGGCAAGGACATCTTTCCACTGGGGTAAATGTTTTGATAGGGAGCAGACCTCCATGGCCAAATGGAAAGGACATGTAGGGAGCCTGCACGGCTCTCTGAGCAGATAATGCAGTATGTCAGTTGACTTGTTCCTGTCCCCAGGTGCTCTTGAGTAGGTCATGTAGAACGGATTCTTAGAATCGAATTTAATAGAATAGGAATGATAGAATAGAATAGAATGCTCATGGATCTCCAAGCAGACGGTACATGACGTGATAATGTGGGGGTCTGCAGTAAGATGTAGTGGTTTAGGATAGTTTTTAGGATGCTACAAAGCACTTCCCGGTACGGTACACCAGGACTGTGCAGTGTCTAGGATGAAAAAGCCCCTTGTTGTCAGACAAAAGCTTGTCAATCATCATTTGATCATTTTCCTCAAGCTACATTGTTTTTACAAAGCACTTCCCGGTACAGTACACCAGGACTGTGCAGCGTCATTGTTTTTCTGACGAAGAAAAAAAGGCTACCTTTAAGGAAGGGTTCCCCAACTAGCCTTTAAGGCAGGGTTCCCCAACTAGCCATTAAGGCAGGGTTCCCCAACTAGCCATTAAGGCAGGGTTCCCCAACTAGCCTTTAAGGCAGGGTTCCCCAACTAGCCATTAAGGCAGGGTTACCCAACTAGCCTTTAAGGCAGGGTTCCCCAACTAGCCATTAAGGCAGGGTTCCCCAACTGGCCTTTAAGGCAGGGTTACCCAACTAGCCATTAAGGCAGGGTTCCCCAACTAGCCTTTAAGGCAGGGTTCCCCAACTAGCCATTAAGGCAGGGATACCCAACTAGCCTTTAAGGCAGGGTTCCCCAACTAGCCATTAAGGCAGGGTTCCCCAACTAGCCTTTAAGGCAGGGTTCCCCAACTAGCCATTAAGGCAGGGTTCCCCAACTAGCCATTAAGGCAGGGTTCCCCAACTAGCCATTAAGGCAGGGATACCCAACTAGCCTTTAAGGCAGGGTTCCCCAACTAGCCTTTAAGGCAGGGTTAACCAACTGGCAGCCCGCTGGTGATTTTATTTGGCCTCCAAGTTGTCAGAGCAAAAAAATATATATATATATTTTGTTTTTGTTGTTGTTGGAGCTAAAAGACTGTAAAAACACCAGCACATCAGCTCCAAGTGATTTTAATTTTGGAAATCTGTTCCCAAGTATTCCCATGCATAATAGAGAGACGTGATCGTATACAAATGTAAGCAAGGTTTTAAATTATTATGTTTCAGTCAAATATTATATCTGTTTGGGCTTCTTGCCGGTCAACATTTGTAATTATGTTCCGGCCCACTGACCATCCGCTCAAATAAAAATCGGGTAAAAATCGCGCCTGAATCTAGTTGATGATCCTGACTTGAAGGCATAATTAGGAGGAGTCAATCATTTTTTAGATGCCGCAGGACCCCTACACTCTTAGAAAAAAGGGTTCCAAAAGCGTTCTTCTGCTGTCCCGATAGGATAATCTTTTTTGGTTCCAGGTAGAACTATTTTGGGTTCATGTAGAGGGTTCTACCTATAGGGAAAGCCAAAGAATCCTTTTAGGTTCTAGATAGCACCTTTCTTTCTAAGAGGGTAGGTTATGTCCTAAATGGCACACTATTCCCTATGTAGCACTATGTAGGAAATAGGGTGCAATTTGAGACGCAACCCCAGTCTTGTGTTTTAAAGGGGATTTGATTCATGTGGACACATCCCTGCCAATCTCCTCGTAGAATGTGACCGGAATGACTGGAAACACACCGCAGAATACAGCCTTCCCTGCCTGGAAGAGATCAGGATACAAGCTGTGTGTCAGGAACAACTGCTCTGAGTTCGCTCCACAGTACAGCCAGATGTAATAGTCTCATTCCAAAAGGCTTAGAGGTCAGGCGGACAGAGCAACACACTATCACAGGAAATGGAGAAAGGCACAGTAGACTAGAACCCGAACATTGTAGCACTTAATATCCATGAAATACACTTTTTCATGAGGGCATGCTCTGAAATATTCCTGCTGGCCAACACCAGGTCACCAAGCTGCACTAAAATTAACACACTGCAACATTCTGAATGCTTCTCTATAGTGATAATGATCGCTGATGGCCAGCGAGCAGGCCACAAGATAACGGTTACTAATTGAGATGAATGTCAAATGAATAACTCTGACTTTTATAACACCTGTGATAAAATGTGATAGTTTTCTTTAACCTTGTTTAAACAAGGGGTTTAGGCAGGATTTCTGAATAAGCACTTTGTGACAACTGCTGATGTAAAAAGGGCTTTATAAATACATTTGATTGATTGATTGATTGATTGATTGATTGATTGAACAACAGAGTAAGCCACATCCAAGGATGTTGTTCTTTGACTGCTACTAGTACAGCAAGTGAGACATTTCAACTTGGAACTCGCTATAGTAGTTCTAGTGCAGTAGGTTTACATTACATTATACAGTAGGTTTAGTGCAGTAGGTTTACATTACATTATACAGTAGGTTATTGCAGTAGGTTTACATTACATTATACAGTAGGTTTAGTGCAGTAGGTTTCCATTACATTATACAGTAGGTTTAGTGCAGTAGGTTTCCATTACAGTATACAGTAGGTTTAGTGCAGTAGGTTTACATTACATTATACAGTAGGTTTAGTGCAGTAGGTTTACATTACATTATACAGTAGGTTTAGTGCAGTAGGTTTACATTACATTATACAGTAGGTTTAGTGCAGTAGGTTTACATTACATTATACAGTAGGTTTAGTGCAGAAGTTTACATTACATTATACAGTAGGTTTAGTGCAGTAGGTTTACATTACATTATACAGTAGGTTTAGTGCAGTAGGTTACATTACATTATACAGTAGGTTTAGTGCAGTAGGTTTACATTACATTATACAGTAGGTTTAGTGCAGTAGGTTTACATTACATTATACAGTAGGTTTAGTGCAGTAGGTTTACATTACATTATACAGTAGGTTTAGTGCAGTAGGTTTACATTACATTTAAGTAGTTTTGCATTTGGTTTACATACATTATACAGTAGGTTTAGTGCAGTAGGTTTACATTACATTATACAGTAGGTTTTGTGCAGTAGGTTAACATTACATTATACAGTAGGTTTAGTGCAGTAGGTTTACATTAGATTATACAGTAGGTTTAGTGCAGTAGGTTTACATTACATTATGCAGTAGGTTTAGTGCAGTAGGTTTACATTACATTATACAGTAGGTTTAGTGCAGTAGGTTTACATTACATTATACAGTAGGTTTAGTGCAGTAGGTTTACATTACATTATACAGTAGGTTTAGTGCAGTAGGTTTACATTACAGTATACAGTAGGTTTAGTGCAGTAGGTTTACATTACATTATTTAGTAGGTTTGGTGCAGTAGGTTTACATTACATTATACAGTAGGTTTAGTGCAGTAGGTTTACATTACATTATACAGTAGGTTTAGTGCAGTAGGTTTACATTACATTATACAGTAGGTTTAGTGCAGTAGGTTTACATTACATTATACAGTAGATTTAGTGCAGTAGGTTTACATTACATTATACAGTAGGTTTAGTGCAGTAGGTTTACATTACATTATACAGTAGGTTTAGTGCTGTAGGTTTACATTACATTATACAGTAGGTTTAGTGCAGTACATTATTACAGTAGGTTTAGTGCTGTAGGTTTACATTACATTATACAGTAGGTTTAGTGCAGTAGGTTTACATTACATTATACAGTAGGTTTAGTGCAGTAGGTTTACATTACATTATACAGTATGTTTAGTGCAGTAGGTTTACATTACATTATACAGTAGGTTTAGTGCAGTAGATTTACATTACATTATACAGTAGGTTTAGTGCAGTAGGTTTACATTACATTATACAGTAGGTTTATTGCAGTAGGTTTACATTACATTATTCAGTATGTTTAGTGCAGTAGGTTTACATTACATTATACAGTAGGTTTAGTGCAGTAGGTTTACATTACATTATACAGTAGGTTTAGTGCAGTAGGTTTACATTACATTATACAGTAGTTCTAGTGCAGTAGATTTAGGCTACCAGACTCACTTTGTACCAGAGTAATAGCTGTCACTCTGCTATCACATCACTTTGTACCAGAATAATAGCTGTCACTCTGCAATCACATCACTTTGTACCAGAGTAATAGCCGTCACTCTGCTATCACATCACTTTGTACCAGAGTAATAGCTGTCACTCCGCAATCACATCACTTTGTACCAGAGTAATAGCGTCACTCTGCAATCATATCACTTTGTACCAGAGTAATAGCCGTCACTCTGCTGTCACATCACTTTGTACCAGAGTAATAGCCGTCACTCTGCTGTCACATCACTTTGTACCAGAGTAATAGCTGTCACTCTGCAATCACATCACTTTGTACCAGAGTAATAGCCGTCACTCTGCAATCACATCACTTTGTACCAGAGTAATAGCGTCACTCTGCAATCATATCACTTTGTTACTACATATAAGAGGGCACATTTTTATGTTTTACGTTAATGTTTTTTGATGATTTGAATTTATTTATTTTATTTCACCTTTATTTAACCAGGTAGGCCAGTTGAGAACAAGTTCTCATTTACAACTGCGACCATGATGCATATAATATAGTGGTTAGACAAACTGTAGCTAGTAAGGGATATGTCAAATGGAAGAAGGGAGGTGTAACACCTCTTGGTGTTCCCGTTTAATAAGAAATGTAGCATGTGTGCTCAGCACAGTCTTTGGGTATCCAAAGGTCCGCGTGATAAATCAACTCAGACGAGTGGCGCAGTGGTCTAAGGCACTGCATCGCAGTGCTAGCTGTGCCACTAGAGATCCTGGTTCGAATAAAGGCTCTGTCGCAGCCGGCCGCGACCGGGAGACCCATGGGGCGGCGCACAATTGGCCCAGCGTCGTCCAGGGAAGGGAGGGAATGGCCGGCAGGGATGTAGCTCAGCTGGTAGAGCATGGCGTTTGCAACGCCAGGGTTGTGGGTTCGATTCCCACGGGGGGCCAGTATAAAAAATAATGTATGCACTCACTAACTGTAAGTCGCTCTGGATAAGAGCGTCTGCTAAATGACTAAGATGTAAATGTAACATCAGGTACACTGCATATACCATGTTCCTTCATACAAGCTCTCTCCTCCACTAATACTCAGTATAAATTGTGTACTTCTGCAAAAATCCCCTTCCTCACTGACAGAAACAACACTGACATGTGTCTGGCACTGGGCACCTACTATGATAATGTGTCTCACCTAGTATGATGACACAGACTTGTTTTAGATGAGCCTAATTATGAGTGTATTACTATATGGTAATATGGCTAATTGTCCTACTGTATTCCAAAACATGTACTATTGGTGTAAATACATAAATGTACTTTATGAAAATGGCAATCAGAAAATTGGTTTTTGTTCCTATTGATTCTGCAGTAAATGATGTAGGCCTAATAAATATTCACCAAAGTATAATATGTATGCATTTGTCTTTATGTTTATTAAAATCAGGAGAAACATCTCTTGACCTAGGCCTACATATCAATCTAGAATATGACCAATAGTGAACTTACCCGATCTTCGAACGTTGGTCCTTTTCGCAGAAAAAGAAACGTTGATCATCCATATTGAAAAAAACAATATATATAAAACGCTCCTGTCTTTACTGGTTAACTCCATATCTTCGTCTAAAGTTAAAAATGTCAAATGGTCATTTTAGGCTACATGCAAAATAAAAACTCCTTGCGCCTAATTATAAGGACGGACGAGAGACGCAACTGATCAAAGTTTCTGATGACAAAGACAACTATAGTTCCTCACAACCTGCTCTCAAAGAACGCAAACGAAAAGGAAATTATGTTTGGAAGGCAACTGAGGTTTGACACGGATAAGATTGCAAGCTGTTGAGATCAGTTGAATGCAGCACGCGCTACTGTGCCATTGTCGACGCGCACATGGAGACAAGTGTCCTGCGTAAACGTAAGAAAAAACACTATCCGGAATTCCGAGTGGGTACTAATTTTATGCGCGACGCTCTTCTTCTTGTCATTCGTCTTGTGATTTAGAAGTTTGCGAAATGGCAGAGGAGAGCCGAAAAGGGGTGACATTTAGAGCTAAGAGGATAACAGGAGTCTAATCCACCCAGATGGAGACTTGGCAGCTCACTACAGCCACTCAGACTAATATAGAAACACACTGACCGCGCGCGTAATAGAAAACAAATAAACCATGAATGAATGAATTACATTCAAAATGTCATATAAACTTTTAAAGAGAAGTCGGCTTTTTGGCACAAATATTGTAGTCTAAACAAATGACTGAAGAATGGGCATATAAAGCTATTGTAGCCTACCATAGGCTAGGCTACCATATGCACTGCTGACTCTAATTTCAAAACAATGACCAGCTGACTCGGGTATAACTAATTTCACCAAGTGAGAAGATTGATTGGTAAACTCAATTGTCTCGAGGGACTTGGGGTCTCTCGCTGTGTGTTAACGCTCACTGATAGCCACGTTTTCTGGAGAGATCAGACAAATGGCTTAAGTAAATTTGCCAATTCCCTCCTCCCCCCTAGCAGAATCCCTTGAAGAACGACTGTCTTATTTCCCCGGGAAATGTATTATTATTATTTTATTTAAAACAGAGGCTATCTTGCATAGCCATGTAGCAATTGAATCAGCTCAAATGGAAATGAAGGAACATGTGAAATGTAGAATTAGGAGGTTAATATTTGCTGCAGCGCTGCATCTAGTATAACGTTCACACACACACCCTCACACACACACACACACACACACACACACACACACACACACACACACACACACACACACACACCACACACACACACACACCCACACACACACACCCACACACACACACACACACACACACACACACACACCCCTCACACACACACACACACACACACACACCCTCCACACACACCACACACACACACACACCCTCTCACACACACACACACACACACACCCCTCACACACACACACCCACACACACACACCCTCACACACACACACCACACACACACACCCACACACACACCACACACACACACACACACCCACACACACACACCCCACACCACACACACACACCCACACACACACCCTCACACACACACCACACACACACACACCCTCACACACACCCTCACACACACACCCTCACACACACACACACACACACACACACACCCTCACACACACACACACACACACACACCCTCACACACACACACACACACACCCTCACACACACACACACCAACCATGGAGGGAAGGGTGACAGGTGACAAAAATCGGAACCCCATAATGGATACGATTAATAGGTACTTCCAATCGTCTTAATAACATAATAAATCCAATCAAAGCTCTTCATAGGATAGAAGCTGTCTACTCATCATAAAGTTCAGAGGTTTCCTTTCTGTTCCTCCACCAAATGTCCCGTATCAAACCGTTTTAATTAGTCCATGAATTGCGTCCCAAATGGCACCCTATTCCCTACAAAGTAGGCTACACTACATTTGACCAAGGCAAATAGGGCTCTGGTCACAAGTAGTGCACTATATAGGTAATAGGGTGCTGTTTAGGACGCATGCCCATGTCAAAAACATTATATTGTTTCAAACGTTCTAACAGATACACCTTGCTCGGTGGGAAATCTACACGGATTAGTCTGTTAAATCTACACGGAGAATGTCAATGACTGTTCTGTGGTCAGTCTTATTAGCACTCCTCTTCAACCTCTATTATCTTTCCCTGCAGTTCACCACAATTTAACCTTCCTTGCCTGGGAAGGAAATGAGGAATCACAAGCAGAAGTCGAGAGGAAATTGTTGAATTCATTACCCAGCACAGCAATGCTCTATTATTTTTCCTCTATAGGGTTATAGGGGAGTGAAGTTGATCTCTTATTTTCTAATGAAAGATAAGAAAGTAAAATAGAAAAAAAGAGAAATGAAAGAAAGTATAATAGAATGAGATAACAAAACATTAAGAACACCTGCTCTTTCCATGACATAGACAGACCAGGTGAATCCAGGTGAAAGCTATGATTCCTTATTGATGTCACCTGTTAAATCCACTTCAATCAGTGTAGATGAATGGGAGGAGACGGGTTAAAGAAGGATTTTTAAGCCTTGAGACAATTGAGACATGGATTGTGTATGTGTGCCATTCAGAGGGCGAATGGACAAGACAAAATATTGAAGTGCCTTTGAACGGGGTATGGTAGTAGATGCCAGGCGCACCGGTTTGTGTCAAGAACTGCAACGCTGCTGTGTTTTTCACGCTCAACAGTTTCCCGTGTGTATCAAGAATGGTCCACCACCCAAAGGACATCCAGCCAACTTGACACAACTGTGGGAAGCATTGGAGTCAACATGGGCCAGCATCCCCGTGGAACGCTTTTGACACCTTTTAGAGTCCATGCCCAAATGAATTGAAAATATTCGAAGGGCAAAAAAAAAACTAAATATTGGGAAGGTGTTCTTAATGTTTTGTACACTCAGATACCGTATGGCTGTATCCTCTTAAAAGGGTTAGGGTTAGAATGTAGATGCCTAGAGTATGGCTGTATCCTCTTAAAAGGGTTAGGGTTAGAATGTAGATGCCTGCCGTACGGCTGTATCCTCTTAAAAGGGCAGTAATGATTATTTTGGACTATTACATACTTGTAATTTACATTTACATTGTATTGATAATTACACAATACTTAAATTATATTTTTTGTAACGACTATCATTCTTGTATCGGATTGACTATTTACAATATGATTTTGTTGAACTATTAGTTAATGATGCCACTATTATTCACAACCATACTGAATATACCATCCTTATAGAGAAAGCCTCTATGGCATCTACTTCTTCTTTCACATTCCTACAGCAGACATCAAATCAGACACAATTCGTTTTTTTGTAAACCAATGTCTTTGTTCATTATCACATCTTTATAGGATCCTGTGATCCCCCTGGCTACCAATGTGGCATCCTTGTACTCAACGTAGAACTCCCTAATGACACTCTATTCCCTACATAGTGCACTACTTTTGACCAGAGCCTTATGGGCCGTGGTCAAAAGTAGTGCACTGAATAGGGAAAAGGGTGCCATTTGGAACGCATTGATCTCTACTTCCATGCATGCAAATACACATCACATCTCCCTGCAAATGAAGACGTCGAATTCTGATCAGGAACCAGCACCAAACAAACTAGCTTGATGATTTGTGCAATTGTTATAAACACTGAGGAAAAAAGATAACAATGTTGTTTGTCATTAAAATTCCATACCAGTCATCAGTGTTATGGGTTTTCCTCATCTGTCTTCACACAGCAGTATGGTTTCTCTGTCTCTAGAGGGTGGTAGATGGTTGCCTGGTTACCCAAACTCCTTGCTCTGGCCAAATGCTACGCCACCGACGTTAGTTTCTTCTCCTCAATGAGTCTGGATCTAAGTACCTCCCCAACGATTTCTAGAACGGAAAATCCATTCTAGACCATCTGATTGGTTCCAGAAACTGATGGGTTGGGCCAGAGCCAGAACACATGTGGGTAAAGTGGCGTTTTGAAAATTTGTCATTGGCATTGATACTCTGATTGATTAGAGATGATCCAATCGCTGATGACTTTGTCTTGTACAACACCCCTCATTTTGACATCACCACATACGACTTCAATGATGGCAGTCTCAAACTGAAGTATGTAGTGAACAATAGAGCAGAGGAAGAATTCCGTTTGAGTCGTCAGGCCAGGTAGATGGTGCTCTGGGTTTCGGGGGGGAGATCACAACAGTATGGTAGATAGAGAAGCCTCTGTCCTGGTTTAAAAATGTAAACTTTTTCTCCCCAATATTTTAAATCTTGTCTTGTCGCTACAATTCCCCAATGTGCTCGGGAGAGGCGAAGGTGGAGTCATGCGTCCTCCGAAACATGACCCGCCTAACCGCGCTCCTTAACACCCGCCAGCTTAACTCGGAAGCTAGCATACCAATGTGTCGGAAGAAACACCGTTCAACTGGCACCCGGCCCACCACAAGGAGTCGCTAGAGCGCGATGAATCAAGTAAAGCCCCACCAGCCAAACCCTCCACTAACCCGGACGACGCTGGGCCAATTGTGCCTCCATCCTATAGGACTCCTGGCCATGGCCGGTTGTGGCACAGCCCGGGAATGAACCCGGGTCTGTAGTAACGCCTCTAGCACTGAGATGCAGTGCCTTAGACCGCTGTGCCACTCGGGAGGCCCCAGGCATTTCTAATTTCCTTTTTCCCTTAAGGCCTCCACAACGGGCCCATTGTTTTCCTCGAGGCCCCCATTATTAGCCATTCTACGCAGGTAGCAGGTAATGGTTAAGTGCGTTGGGCCAGTAACCGAAAGGTTGCTGGTTCAAATCCCTGAGCCGACTAGGTGAAAAATCTGTCGATGTGCCCTTGAGCAAGGCACTTAACCATAATTGCTACTGTAAGTCTCTCTGGATAAGAGCGGCTGTTAAATGACTAAAATGTTCATGTAAAATGTAAAACTTCTGCTGGCCAGGCCTTACCCTGCTGGAAACAGGACATCTGCTCTGATGAGATACAACCAATAAACCCACTACAC